CCACGGGGGTTCCTAGTATTTACCCTTTGTCAATATAGTTTCAAACAAATATGCGATGGATACTATATAAGTTAGGGGCTGGGATATTTCAGCTTACCCGTTCCATGAGCTTCTACATAGGAGACCTCTGAAGGCAACACTCCACCTCCGGCGAGGGCTTGGAGGTATAGATCGCTTTGCGACTGTGAATCTGGTACAGTGATAGGACTGCAGCTCGAGTTTTGGTTCACTGCTGTCCCCGTGATGGTGCCAAGGATGTGGTCGTTATCAGTTATGGCCTGTGCTAGAGGCTTGAGGACTAGCACACCGGCACCCTCGCCACGACAGTATCCATTTGCCTGGGCATCAAAAGCCCGCGAAGCACCTGTCGTGTTTAAGAAAGAGGCAGCTGCCAAGTTCTGATAGAAAGTAGAGCTTGTGATTACATTGACACCTCCAGCAATGGCGACAGAGCAGTCGTTTGTTTGAAGAGCCTATTTATTCAAAAGGGGTGTTTAGTAGCCTGCAACTCTACGTGCGCAGCGTGAGGATACGCTTACCTTGCAAGCATGATGGATAGCAACGGCGGACGAAGAGCATGCCGTATCGAATACGACGGAGGGGCCAGTCCAACCAAAATAGTGGCTGACTCTACCACTGATAAATGCTCTTATAGCTCCAGTAGCTGAGAATGCGGTTGCGTCTTCTGAAGCTATGTTATCCTCATATTCGACGTAGCCCGCACCGATGTAGCATCCCACGGGCCGATGTGGTGACTCTGACCCATCCGCGTACCCGGCCGATTCCATGGCTTCGTATGACACCTGGAGTAAAAGCCTCTGTTGAGGGTCCATTGATGCGGCTTCACGCGCAGACATGCCGAAGAAGCGATGGTCAAACGCATCAGCATCCTGTAGGAAGTTACCAAAGAAAGGACCTTTAGGGTTGCGCCACAAGTCCGAGGACTTGAACCGATTTTCAGGTACAGGCGTGGTTGCATTTTTACCCGAGTTTATCAAGGACCAGAAGTCTTCGAGAGAATCAGATTGCGCGTATCGACATGCCATACCAATGACGGCAATGGGCTGAGCTGTGCCCACGGCCGTCGGAGGAAGAGAACTGCTCGGGGTCGTCTGACCAGTAGCCAAGTTGTCGCTGGTGGTGCCGCTGGGAGGCGAGCCTGTTTCTGATGATGAAGACTGGTCGAAGTATCCATTAGTGGGAGTATCGGTAGATAATTTGAGAGATCGAGGCACGGCCCCTGGACTGCTACCAATAGGTATTATTTTAACTGGTTGACCATTCCATGCATCCAGTGCCGCTTGAACTGTCTCATACCACCTACATACACCCACCAGGATGCAGTCTAGAGCAATTTCGTGAAGCGCCCCTTTCGTTATAATCCCTGCGTCCAGAGTAGATCTCAGGGGCAGGGTCAGCTGTTCAGCTGCAGGAAACTGAAATTTTTCGTCATGCTGAAATAGCAACTTTAGTTGCTGAACGATTTTAGTCCTATCCGGGCTGGTTGTGTGGTATCGGCCAGAAAGGCCAACCGGTTTAGCAGATAAGCCGCCATCTGCGAGTTGTCTGGCGAAGCTCGTAAATTGGCCCCCCGGTATTGTGAGCGTGACCCTGTCAATATCAGTCACGCAGGAGATATACGCCTAAAAGCCATATAAGCCACGGAAGAAAGTCAAATAAGGGGATAATGATTTCTGGGTGTATAATTGCTTACATCGGGGAAAGACGCTAGCGTTCTTTCAAAGTGTCCCTTTTCAATGCTTGAAGTCCATCCAACCGACCACGTGGAGCTGGACAGGGAAGAATCTTCACCCCCATCTGACCGTTCTAGTTCGTCTAGATCTACAACAGCCCCAATACAAACCGCCAGGCGAATTGCGGTGGCCGTCCACTTCTCCAAGTCGGCTCTATCCCGCGCGCTTGCTATAACGGTAGCAGCTAAGAAACCAACACAGAATCCCTGTACGGTACCTTTATGTTCCAGACGGGTATATTCAGCAATTTGCGAAATGACAGTTAATGGAACGAGAAGTAAGTTGCAAGGGGCACCTATCCGGGGCGCCTCTTCGTTCTGATTCTCGAAGAATGTCCCTAATCGTTGTAATAATTGCTTGGCACTTGTGTGACGCCTGAAGTTGGGAGAGCTCGGTTGAATCGTCGTCTCCCATAATGAGGGTAGCTCTTTTACAATCTGAACGAGGAATTCAAGACTAGGATCCTCCAAGATTGCCTTCCGAAGGTCCGTAAGACGGGACGACACGAGCCGAGGGATCTGAGGCCCGAATAACAGAAGGGTGTTTGCGGCCGAGTTTGGGGTGGCTGCATACATTTTTCGAAGATCGATATCTAATGGCGCTACTGCAAAAAAACGAGAATTTATTTCAAGGCCGCGGCGAGCTCTTTAAGTAAGTGAGCCTATAAGCTATAAGTATATTACGTTAAGTAATATTGTTATTGCGTCTCAGTCATGAAGTTGATTCATGCAGATGCCGTGTTGAGATGTATTTTCAGGCGCTGGATATGCCTTAGGGGTTGCGGGATGTGTTTATATAGACGGTGGTCTCACAAATTTAGATATCATATTTGCACGGTAAGATACTCTTACGTGGGAGGCGGTACCTCCCGGATGATCAACATCCACATAAGCAGTTTATGGTCCGTAAGAAAAACTTGACTAGGAAGGCAATATACTTATCGTCATCACCCCTAGCGAGATCGTATCGTTACGCGGGTTTTTAAGAGAGCAAGGAATGAATACCTAATATAAGACAATCTCTATGTTTGGTTCGTCTACTTGTTTAGTCCGCTGGCTATGCATACTGGTGCTCTTTGCCGGCGGCTTTCCATCTTCGGTTAGGTATTACCTCTTCGGTATAGTCTTAAAGGAGGCTTATCGGAGTAGTAATACGTCTGCCACCCTAGGAGTTTTAGTATAGGACTTCGAGCGGCCGCCATTTACCTACTTAAGCACGCGCCGGGCCAGGATATTCATGCCATGCCTACACTTTTCTTTACACATTCCTTATCTAGTATTTTAACCCCTGGAGTACAACCATAAGGCTTGCAGGTGAGACTCTTAGAGCGGCGAAAATCAATTTAATCCCCGTAATATTGAATGGAAGGTTAACGTGAGCATCATTGCATGATGGCTAGTTGTGTCTAGGGTTTAAGATTACCTGTTGCTGAGTATATAATGATCTTTAGGATCTTTGGCGTATAACCTACACCAAAAGAGAAAGGTAAGAATGGGACAAAATTACTGTCTGAAATCTCCGGTAGCGATAGAAAGCCATAGTTAGATGGTAAAAGTAATAATTCCACATTTACGATGATCTTTGTTCCTAATAAGTTATTCTATATCGAGAGCAGATCGAGATCGACCATGAGGTATACGAGTTAGCTATATCACGCACACGAAGCCAAAAGATTTTAGTTTCCAAAAGATTTTAACACGTTTTTCTTTATAATTCCTATAAGCCATCTAATATCACTAATATAATTGGGCATATGGGCATGTGACATATGTAGAAATACGTCGAAATTACCAAAAATGTTGATATCCCAAACAATGAGGGGCCTTCCTTATGAAGCAAGGAATTTTTATGGAGTATAAGATGTATCAAGCTCACACTTCGGGATATAGAGTGGTACGGTTGGTCAGCAGGTTCTATTGTTGAATTTAAATTATTTTTCTTTTCCTGTAACCTAGCAGAAGGACGTTAGAAAAGGTGGCGTACTTACAAGGATAATTGTTAGTTAGAGGTGGGCCAGGTACTATGTATTTTGACGCCTTTTCTGCTTGGGTTACTTTGCATATGCGGCTAACTTTCATGAGCAGCCCTTGGTATGTAACCACTACGGAGTGACATGTGACTAGCTGGTGGATAGCTCATATAACATATATATCTTAAGGTGTTATTAACGCCTATCTCTTTTTAGATCTAAGAGGGAACTAAGGTTCCCTTATATACAAATACAATATAACGAATAACTAGCTGGTATGTAGATAGCTTCAAGCTGAATCTTAGAACCCTTATCACGTCATACGCCTATCGTAATCCTTGTCATCTGACACTAACCATGTATATGTATATTGACATGACTGTTCCTTGGTAAATATCTCCGAGAATGTTTGAGTACCTAGGTACCTACCTACCTAAGGTAGTCACACTTTGGAATATAAATCCCGCGCTAGGAATTCTGATGTTGTAATGCTTCATACGCTCGCGATTTGCGTTTAATGTTACCAAGTCCTACATTGCTAGCTGGCCACACGTGTAGTAAACTTGGATCAGGATCGTAGAAGGATTCGGATGGTTAAACGTTGACCCCCATGAACTTCTATGTAACTTCGTACTTCATAATCATCAGGGTCTTTTTCTAGCCCGTTGTGACTTTTCACAGATCGTTCCGGGCCGGCCCGCTAGTTATGAACTCTAACTTAAATTATTTATGCCCCGCTATTATCTGTGCAACGAACCCGTGGTAGATGAAGAATAGGTAATCCCATAATGTACTAGACCAAGGTTGTTTGTTATCTTAAGTTACCTACATGTTTTCAAGCGTGAGTTAGCGTCAAAATTGTCTGTGCAAGGATCCACTTCCACCAACCAGAATTGAGATACGGTATTTTCGGGTTGATATTTGATTGGGCACGGCTGTTTAATATATTAAGCATGGATGTTCGGATCAAAGCTGCGAAGTCTGGACCTCGATTAGACAATCCTCCCTTCGCTTTGCGAAAAGCGGGTTCTCATTCCGTCCATGTCAGAATATGCGCTGTGTCATCTTGACTTGGTCGGCCATCATTTTACTTGCTCTTCCAGTACCAAAAGTAGTCGTAACCCGGGGCCTGATGAGGACGCAGGGTATGTGTTATCAATTTGCTACGGGCTTCAAGTTAGCAATGCCTCATCACACCTCCTGAGCAGGTACCATAACAGCATGTGTTGCGAACGCTGAAATCCGAATATAATGCCTGAATATCAGTACATATTCTAGTGCTATCTATTATATAACAGTGTCCCGGATATATATTGTATTTAAGCCCTTTGTAGACCCTTGTAGACCTTATACCTAGACTTAGGATGATAATGAGGATTACACCAAGTATTGCTGATCATTTTCTAGCCTCTAGTCTTTCCGTAGCTAACGCCTCTTTGCATACTTCAAATACGTCGACCCTGGAGGAGTCAGTTCGTGTCTTCTAATATGGCAAGTTAGGTTAAACTTACGTGTAATCATGCTTCAAACGTCCGGAGAATGAAGTCGGCACACCTAGTAGGGTCAGTCGCCATTGAATATCGCAATGAGAGCATAACAAGTGAATGTAGAGAGTGGCCTAATTGGGAGGCAATGAAAATACGTACCGGAGCCTGGCGGGTCGGCGTAACGACGAACTAGATCCTCGACCTCTTTCTCCTTGCCGAGGCGGACTCTGGATAGCGATTGAACTCTCGATGCGCGTAATCTGCGGACTCGTTCGTACGTAACGAGACGACTGGAAACATCCGCCGCCGACTCTCCGTTGCCGAAAAGCGCACCTAAAGCCCCGGCATCTTCTATGGCCTGATTTGCCCCTTGTGCCCCAAACGGGAGCATCTGAAATACCTGATGTTAACCTCACCAGATAGAGTAGGCATATTATGGGGTGTTACATACCGGATGAGCTGCGTCCCCTACCAGCACAAACTTCCCTCGATGCCAAATTGGAAGCGGGTCGTGATAGGATAGAGGCCAGTCAGTAACGTTTGGAGCTACACTAAATTCAGTATCCCATTAGATTTTCAACCTTCCGAACTTCCATCCAGAAGAGGAACCGAACACTCACTTGATGATATGAGCTATACTAGGGTGGTAATGGCCAAACTCTCTTAACATGAGAGACTTCAGATCTTAACGGATTTTTGTTAGTATAAGTGCGTTTGGTGATTTGTATTTCGGCTTACCTGCGTCGTCGCCGTGTGTACTTCCATGAATACCAGCGAAATTCTGGACTTGTCCGCTGTGTGAATGTCAGGTACATTTTTCCAATTGTTCTTGCACACTCGGGAGGCCTACTTTCGACAAGTGTACCATACCATATGTCGTTCTATCTGAGAGGTCGTATCTGCTAAAACGCTGTTGCCTCTCCCTTTTACTTTCTGCAGCTCCCGAAAGTGTGGATCATCCTGTAGGTCAGATGTTGGTATCATAAACCGGAAAGCACTCAGTCCTGAGGGGGTAGATTTCGCCGCCTTTTGGTCGCCTAGCACTACACCCCTTAAAACGGAATGCAGTCCGTCAGCGCCGACGATGAGATCCGCGTAATGCCGTGTTCCATCCTCAAGTATAACAAAGCCTTCTTCAGCGTTAGCTGCTACCACTTTCGATGCCAATTCAAGATCCAGAGTGGAGGTGAGACGCAAAAGTTCGTTGTGCAGGTCTACACGATGTACTGTATAGAGCGGCGCCCCGAATTCCTCGCGAGCATTGATGAGATCCGCACGGTGAAGGGGTTCTAATGTGACACCATTCAATACCTCGAAGCATGTCATATCATCAGCTCGAGCCTTCGCGAAATCGAAACCCAGGCGAGACAGCACCCGAGCCCCGTTAGGGGTTACGAGGATTGCAGCACCCACTTCGGCGGCAAACCGAGACTTCTCTAAGACCTATGTTCTGTTGGTACTTCTAATAAACCTGATTCAAGGTCGTTGAGAAAGAGGAATCTCATCCTACCTTCACAGAGTGGCCGGCTTGCTGAAGTACGACAGCAGTACACAGACCGCTAATACCGGCGCCAACAATCAGCACTTGGAGAGGCATGTTGAGTACGTAGAGAATGTCTTTGACACCTAGACATTTCCGAAGGAGATGAGTTAGCGCGATCTTTTAGGTTTTATCACATTGTCTGTACTGCTTAGACTAGCTCATTACTAAGAAATGAAGCATCCTAGAAGCACCTTCAAAGACTTGAGGGTATCTATGCCTCAAAATCCCGACATCATCATATCAGTAAAACTTATCATAATACAGAGATAACCATTTTAGAAGACACATCATACCACTTCATAATCCAACCCCGGTCGCTTCCCACACCGAATATATAGGTATCTAGCTACCTTATATCGTCAAAATTTGGAACGAAGGATTGGCGTTTCATTCACCCCTGTGATAAATTATACGAGGGTTATCTCGTAGAAAGCAGGATTTACGAAGTCATAAGACCGTACGATGTACATGCTGTGTTTAAGTCATCGTGTAGATTAGATCTACAATTTCTATTCGGTCGTTTATTTCTTTCTTTCGATTGACGTGCCGCAGAAATGCCGGGTCCTTCCCAATACGTCCTGGCCCCCATTTGCAAATCCACGTTTTGTTGTGACAATGTGGCGTTTATGTTACCAACCTCTTTGTACGGTTTGTTAACCTGCCTTGTAAACGCACTCTGGATGGTTGCCGAGGTTGGCTCTACCTATGATGCTAGGGTTGAGATTTCAACTTAAGAGCAAGACAATTAGCTAGCCAGCCAGCATAAAACCGCATATACATATAGGAGTGCTTTTCGCCTATTTCCTTTTCCACGGGAATGGGCCAAGTAGAATCATGCCTCTAATGTAGCACAAGCCTTTAAAGAGTGTATTACTCATCTGAATTCTGCTCATCAACCTAAGTCAATGATAGGGCTCGTAGAGGCTTTACATATGCCTCCAGATACTTGAAACTTAGGTACTTATGATACCTAAAATGAACTAAACTATCCAGGAGAGTGCCTAGGTACCTACTTGTGTGTGAAGAGTTTTCGGAGGTAAGGAAAATGCGACAAAATGGTTATTGCGATTCCATCACCCTTTTAGCTAAAGTGCTGACGTGGGATCTGGTAGTGTTGCTTGGATCGCCGTAGCCGCTGATGCTAAATATTAGCTGCGGTCTAGACTAATGCTACTCGACGTTCAGAGGCCTCCAGAAGTCAATCTTACGACTTCTTCGTTTCCTACGAAGTGCTTGCTTATTGGAAGTTTATATCCCACCATTTCGAACGGGAAGATGGGAAGGCATATCTGTATGATAGACCAGAGGTACAGTTTTCGTCTCATTCTCTCGTTCTCTTGGCTTTGGTTCTAGCAATACTATGTCAAACTACATATTCAAGGGTCATAAGCTAGTGGGACTCTACGGTGGACCTAGTCGCTAGTGGGCCCGGCACAGCGAGTCTTCCATGTCCTAAACTAGGCAGATCTGTTATATTACTGTCACTAGTGCATCCGCTATCGCGAGTGGGGGATCCCGGTACCTCAAAAGGCAGCTCACGATAGTGGATAACCCGATAGATCCCTGGACGAAGGGGCGCATCGTCAGCTACATAACTGTTCAAACTATGTATTAAGGACGAATTGCGTGCTGATACAAGACAACGATGCATTTGGGTATCCTATGTTTCCGGGTATTGGTATGCGTTCGCCCCACAGAAATAAGGTGTATAGAGGCGAAGCTCGGGATAAGAATACCATTTGGGAAGAGATCATCCGGAAAGTTGACTTCAAATCCAGGTTGACACAGATATTCGGGAAGGTGGTTATTGCTTTTGCCATTATGCTGGGCCCAGTTCTAGTTCCGTGGGCTTCAACAGCATCTAGCTTTCTCAGCCTCCTGCGCGTTATCGGTCTTGTCCTTGCTCCCATTAGGCGGAGGAGGCGACCAACGGGACTATAGGCATAGGAACCTTGAGATATCATGCAGAGAGTGCAAGGGTATTCTGTTATTTATCATACTTTAGCCCGGTGACGGGAAGTGCATCACGATCGGCTTACCCTTCTTAGGAACTTGGCTCACTCCAGAAGTCTATGATTAGTTATAAGAAGACGGGATTTGAAGACGTATAAGGACTAACTTCTCGACATGGCAACTAACCTTGCCGTCTCAACCGTCTATACTGGGACAGTATATCGAGGTTTATAATCTGCTCGGAAGATGTTCCGTAGTTGCATGACTATTGCGACCCTAAAATAGGTATTATTGATTTAAACGAGACTCGCACTGATGAGCTACCTACTCTTAGTGATATAAGGAAATCGGTAATAGCCTATCAATTTCGAGGTAAGCACTTGTTCGTCTAACGCAGAACGGATCATGCTTTAGAAATCGTCATGTTATCAGCCTCGGCTGGCGTGTATGTAGTGTCAGGATTCTAGATGAGACATCTAGGACAAAGAACATGTATGTATATACGAGCCGTGGGCTCGCCAGATACGTTAAAGTTCCTCGCGGAACAACAAAGTTGTTTCCATGTTGTTTGGTTCCACCTCGTGACATGTAGTACGAATGTCACTCTCTCGATCTTAATTAGATCTATCACATAGGTACAAGGCGCACAGACAAGGAGCTAATGTAACCATACTAACAATTTCGTGGGGTTCTCCCATACAATAACAGACTGCTTCCGATACGACTGGACCTCGCGACATAGTGTAAGTCAAACGCTGAGGCTACCAGCCCTACCGGCTCAAATATGTTGCACTGTCATGGTCACATGACATAAGGGGTACTATATATTATACATGAGCCCCACCAGTTTAAACATCACGGTAATGCATCCCTTTGGTGGGTGGATCTGACTAAGATATTACTACACAGGTAGACCCTTACATTAGGTGGACTCTATGTACATTAGGTAGGTATAGGTGACTTCTTGCTTGTGATCATGTTTTTTCTTTCAACAACGACATTGAAATCGAAATGCTGATCCTCTCCTACACCATCTAACACGTAAGCCAACTCCTTCCAATTTGCATCAGTTCATCTACTAACACCCAATCTTCGTCTAAATAAGCACATTACCTACCGCGCAATCATCAACATCTGAAATATTCTCTATGGGAGATGTAATGTACATGTAAGTGGCCATACGACATTCCATACCATCGGATATCCAAATACACTCAGCCGCATATATCACGAGCGATACCGCAACTGCTTATAGCGGAGGTATCACGGATGCATTAGTGATGTCGCAAGCACATGCAAGATGCATGGGAACGATAAACTCACTTCCTCCAATAGGTTTACTCTTTCGCACGTAGCCGTACAATCCTTGATAAATCGTACGATCTTGTATCAAGTTTTAAGAACTGCTAGTTATACTGTTTACATAGTAAGTCGAGCTGCTTGTTGTCGAAAACAAGTATCTTGTGAACAATATTATTAGAATAGTAGGGCAATGGCTGTGAATTATCAAGTAACTCTTTCGCCAAATAATAATCGTAAAATTAATGCTTTATAATCATATCCTTCAAATCTTCTTAGGTAGGTACCTAACTAAGGCATAGTTCTCACACTAATGTAGTTATTTTCATATCTTCTAATCCCAACCCGCGACAGAGACGACATCAACGGTGGAAGTACTAAGGTTTCCACTCAGACATATTACTAAGTCCCGCCCACGGTACACGCCTAATTGTGAATATTACTGTATGGTAAGGACATAAGCCGTGGCTACCCGGCCCCTTCGACTATAATCGTTCGGATCACTTGTGGCAAACACTGGGGTGGTACGAACAAGGGGTGATATTGAAATTAACCAAGAATAAACTACAGGAGGCTTTTCACAAGTATTAGGATGATATGCTGATTTTTAAGGACTACATGATTTAATTAAAATTAACTACTTGAAAAGAAATATTCGTGTACTTTTGAGAGAAGAGAATATGTATCATGGGATAATGTAAGAAACGACGTTTCTTGACTTAGGCTGCGGATCTCTTTGCTACAGTGAGACAATAGTTAGATCCTCATCCTGTAATCCTAATACGGCAACGATGTCACAATTCCAGGAATTACACGGCGTGTTCGACTCTGCAGTAGCCGCATAATTCGTTTGCGATGGCTACTTTATCGATGCAATTGCATACTCTGCATGCGCACGAGAACATCTTTTCCCTTTCGGAAGCCATGTTTTCCTAACAAAGATTTTAGGAGATGAGTAGGGCTGATAAATATATCTCTAAAACGATGGAGAAGATTGGGATTTGGTGATTTTATGATATGTCTGTGATAATGTAGTAAGCGACTAATTGTTGTGCTCTGGTGTTGGATATTCGGTGATTAACGATGGGGATAATGCTGAAATATATACACCAATCAACCGTTGACCTAACAATGAAGTTATTTTAAGACGATTTCCTGGATATGTAACTCGATGTAACAAGATGTAACTTTTCCTAGTTGCGTTACATGCATTTCGTTGCTACAAAGGAGAATAAATCTGTGTTAAATGACATGATTATTAGTCCACTACGGGCTATAACTAACCTGATTATACTAACCGTCAAACTAGGTAACATTAACTATTCCAAGTGATTAACAAAGTCCCATCATTGAGACTTTTCCAGACCAAAATTTTCTCTTGTCTTCATCCCAATCTCTACCTATGCCTTATTATAAGGTTAATTCGATTACCTAGGTGGTCACATAAACGCGAAATTTGCTAGGTAGAGCTTGTTAAATGGCAGACGTAAGTAACTCAATTTATTTCTGGTTATTATGATAATAACTCCCATTGTAGCATCGAGGAATGTGGAGGTAGTGGCAAAACATCTTATAGTGCACTTCCCAGAGCAGGTGCTCAAGGCCTCCTTATAGCAGATTTAAACCTACAAGCCGCGGAAACGCAGTATCAAAGCCCGGGTTGTTGCAATGAATCCTAAGGGTTTTGGTAGTTCACCTCGATGTGGCCGCTAAGAAATTCCTTGGCTATACGATAGCACCCGTGATAGTCATTTCAGCGCAATGAACTTTTTGTGGATTTTCTTTCCTGTAAGTTATAAGTACCTTCTAAGCTAGAGCTTCACCACTCTGTGGCCATACTAGGTACGAATACCTAATGCGGATTCCCCGCGAATTATTTGACGATATCTGAAGTGCTACATATAGTCCTCCTTAAGGTAGATTTCTAAGGAAGATTTCACACACCGAGCTAGCTTTCAGGAAAAATGAAATTATAGGAGCCTAGGAAACTGTATCCTACGTCGCCTAGGTATAAGTCGCACGGTGACTGTGAACATGGCTTCGCTTTTATCGCACGTTACATCGCCAGGCTATTTCTAATACGTGACCGGAAACTTGTTGCTAACCCATACATTAATAGCAATCGGCAATTCCAGCTATATGATTCGAGTGAACTACATTTGACTATATTATGTAGATATTCCGATGATAAGGAATGTCATGGAGGCTGTTCTTGGTCTAAGATAAACAATTCTGCCCGGGATACCAATTGGCCTCATAGCTGCTGAGGCGGTTGCTGGTCTTTTCTTATTTATGTGCAACTTTATGCCGCTAAAGCTACATGGTAGGCTGTAGGTTGATAGCTTATAGAGGAGTGGCAATGAGTTCGAGTAGGATGCGCGAGGGACCAAAACAAAACAATTGTAATTATAACTCAGGGTTCGCAATGTAGGTAGGGTGAGCCGCTATATTAAAACTATATGCTAGGTTAGATGTATATCTGAAAGAAATGTAGGTAACAGTCGCAGTTCCACCCACTGGTAGGCCGTTAAGTATGTCTTGATCGTAAATAAACCATCCTTGTACCTATGCTAAGATTCAATGAAACTCAACATAACGTTACCACAGTAGTCGACACCATGGGAGGTTTCTTTACCAACCGTAGCTCTAAATATGTATAGAGTAAATTATGATAGTCATGTAGTTATTCAATCCCTCCTCCCTTTATCCTCGTATGCAACAGTAACTTCCCGTGTCCTTTGAATACTAGTTTGGTTGTCTCTTAGTATGGCCCGCTCACTGCCGTCGTCCGAGCTACGCCCGGAGGCACCAATTGTCGTCACATTGGCATTCTTTACATCAGGTCGAATAGTACCCAAGCCTATCTCCGTATCTGTAGGCCTGGTATTTCTCGCCCTCCCTATTGTAACTAGATTATGTGATCCCTCGCTCTGCTTGTAATATCGTTCCGAGGTGCTCCCACCGAGCATTCGAACCCAGATCGGTCGGAGTACTGGAACGCATACACAGATAAGTGTAATGGTAAGTTCGCTACTGGTCCACATCACCGATTCGGCAGTGGCGACTAGATTTACGGGGGCTGTTAGACACGAAATAAAGGTAGTGGGCTATCAACTTACATAAATAGTCTTCGGTAATGCTTAGAACACCGAGACCTACCGTTCGAACAATTCCGCAAACTCCTGCCCTATTCGAAGTTAGTTTGTAAAGTATAGTTCACTGTTGAGGTGCGCCTTACAATATTCCTAAACTGAGAGAGACGCAAATTGTAATCTTGTCCTTTCTTCCCATGTTTAGCTTCCAAAGTACCATCCAAGGGAATCCTGCTAGGAAAAAGTCCATCGCAGCAGACCAAGCTGTGTCGTGTTAGCCTCGCTTAGCTTTTCTAAATATTACTAGGAGGTACTTACAACACATGATGTATGCAATTGTAGTTAAATCTAGTGTGCAATATTGGCGCGGGACACGGTCGTCATAGAGAGACTCGAATGGAACGCACTGAGCGAAGACGGTGATGGCAAGCAGAATGGACCAACCCATCATTGTTGAAATCCAGAACCAAAGTACTATCTTGTGCCTAGTTCTCTTCTGTGAGCATATTCGTCGAGTTAGAATTTGGACCGGTCCTTACCATTTCTGAACAACAATGCGCATTAAAAACAGGCCGACAGCCGACTTGCTAAGTCCCATCGCAAGTGAAACAATGCATTGAGCAATAAGTTCCGTCAAAGTAGCCATTCGAACATCCGGCTTGGAAAGATCTTTGTTATGTTGACCGAAGCCATAACCGCAAGAAACCGTTATGGCACATACGAATGCAAGCTGTACTATCTATTGTTTCCTGGTTAACACACTGGATGGTTCAGAGGTGCCGATTTTGAATTTACCTACCCAAGTTGCTATAAGAACCCAGTCGTCAATGCCAACACCCTTAGTTGACGAATTACGGATGGCGACTCGCGTAGCAATGAAGCCTCCAGCGAGTACGACTTCCACGCATGTAATGGCGATGACCGTTGGACCCTGATTTCCGAGAGCCATTACGAATCGTGATCTAAGTACCGAGAGGAACACCTGAGAACGCCACCAATTTCCAGATCATCGAATTCATAGGTTAATGGACCGGCCAGTCATCGAATATTACTGTAGAATATTAAAGCTGATTTTCAGTCAAGATGTTGGTAGTTTACTCTCTTGATGAAACGCATTTGGGACTCATCGTAATATGATGATTATTAACCACGGTATTAAGCGGAGGTACTATATGTATTGTATGTATGTGCATAGCATAAGCCTCGGGGTATGAGCAGGGGCAGTCAAAACTCTTCACTGTCTAATTTCCAGACTACAAGCATAACCCCCCCTTCCCCCCCCAGACCAAACAGCAGACCCTGACAGTGATAGACACCACGCCGATTCACTAAGAAAACAGCTTCAGCTATTCTCTTCATCTTTGCTAAAATGGAATAGTTATGTATTGCTGGGATCTTAGCGTCCGCTATCAACTTAATTTGCACTGGAAAGACTAGAACAATACCGAGTGATAGGCATCAAGTTTAACATAGTTAACGAACAACAAATCTACCATTTCAGTCACCGGGAGGGAATTCTCCTCTGGACAAACCTCGCGTGTTATCCTATCCTATAGAAACCTACACAAGGCTTAAGCTTGGAACGCAGCTTCAAATGCTCTCTTTCAGCCATTTCCCTATGGAATTGCATGAACCCAAGATCGGATGGATCGAGATCTTGAAACATACTGTTGGTAAGCCACTCACTACGAGATACTCCATATGGAAAAACAAAGCAAAGTCTAAATGTTGGACTCCTCATTTATTCGGCCCGAGCTATGCGCGTTTCGAAAATTCGAGACTATGCTTTTGGGTTGATAAAGTTGGACTGTGAATCGATACTGTAAATCGTGAACATTGTTACATTTACAGACCGTAAAACCAAATGGGCGGCACTCTTCTAGTGTGGGATGATGATCAACTTTAGGTGAAGCCGTCCGTCCAATCGTTAACAACAGCTTCTTGGCATAGTGGGCACGGCTGCACAATCCCTGAGCCGCTTTAACGCTATGACGGGACCAGGTATGCGAACCGAGTCTACGGATTAGTTGGCTGGTTGGCTGTCAAAATCCGTAGCGTTGGTCCACTGGGGTCTTAAACTAACGCGTTATGCTAAAGAAGGCATTCCACACTGAACATCAGCAAATTACCTAACAGAATAGCGTCAAAATAACTGGCAATAGCGTCAAAATACCTGGCGCAGTCTATGTACCAACAACTATGCTGGTAGGTAGGCCGCCATTTTTTACGTTATTTTGCCTAAACAGCAAGAAGATAAGTAGGTATAAGCAAGTAGTCTTTTGAAACTAGCCCGTTAAACTTTTAACTAACCTAATTTAAATCTTTAGTATATGTGTTTCTTCTAGCTTGTAAAATGAATTGGAAGAGGGTTATATCTCTTACATAGAGACCCAAACAGGGGCCTGTAAACTAGCGCTGTTCGCCACTGGCTGTTTTTATTAAAGTTCTTTTTCTACTCCCCACAATACACAACGCATCAAAATACCTACAACATATTAACATTTCTCCATCAAATTGCAATAATTCCAAGATTAACCTCTGAACTAAGCCACTTATAGAGATAAATCACTTAGATCTGTATAAAAACAGCTGGTAGCGAACGGCGCTAGTTTACAAAGATCATCTAACGGGGCGATGACCTAACGGGGCGATGAGGCCATAAGACCTGCAAAACATCCATCGATGTCCAACACGATACCAACAACGAGAAAATACGTGTACAGACCGCCAAGATGATAATTAGGTAATAGCACCCTCCACATTACCATATAAGCTATAAACCCACAGGTATCCCTCAGCAAAATCTCTTAGGAATATACTTATTTGCAAAAAGAGCAACGGCCACGGATCTTCTTAAAGCCACGAGAACTACTACTATAACTAGATCGTCACGTACTTTTCTCAGTATGTATATATAAACTTATCTGTAAGACAGTGTAGTATAAAAATCACTCACGACCCCTCGGAATTTAGTCCAATCGGAATTTGTCAGTTTTCCGAATTCCATGGGTAGTATCCTATCTCGCTACCGAACGCCAACAAAACGGGGGAATCCTGGTCGTCATATGCAATCCCCTGCATTTCCTGCAGCGCCGCGGGGTTAGTCTTCTACATACTATGGTATCAAGGGTAAGTAAAACCACACCCATAAGTCGCGCACTAAAAGGTGGCCAATGCGGTACTGGAAATGCTAAAAAGCTGATACCAATTCTGGATGACAGCCACATCTAACCCTTTTAGGTGGTACTTTTGGGGGTGGTTTTACTTTGGCCTGGTACCATAGTACGCGTGAGATCTTCTATCAGGTGAGAAATCATACAATAGTGTACAATTGTACAGATTAATTGGCTATTCAAATGCTATTTTTAATTGAAACAGCGATCGCTTAGGAAAGAGCATAATACATACGCTCGAGCCTGGCAACGTCCCCGTTAAAATGTTTCCATACGTGCCCTACGGAACCCCAACCTTGAACTACCTATCCGAGCTTACAATATTTAGGAAGCTAAAGGAAGAAAAGAAGAAAATGCAAAGTGGCATTGGCGCGACAAGGTATGTGTGTATACTACCTTTAAGGATACTATGTACTGTATGCCAATAGACGTAAGGAAATTGGAATGTCGTCATTGTAAGTTACACGTTAGAGACAAGATTGCTATAATATATTTGTGTTGTCTTCATATATTCGACAACCGCACCTTAAAATGTGCTGCGCTTTAATGAAAGATTAACCTTATAATTGGGAATAGCGTTGCAAATATTAAAGCCAATGAAAAACTATTTTCACTTTTATTAAATCTTTGAAAAAAAAGATTATAAAATTAATATAAAAATAGATAAAAGTTGGAAAATACCTTTAGAATATACAGAAAGCCCTCCTATTCGGAAGTATTTCAGATCAATCCCCAATTACAGGGCCAATCCTTAATTAAAACGTAGCACCTTTTAGGGGTGCGGTCGTCGAATGTACATATGAAGACAGCACAAGTACACTATTTTACATGACTAGAAGTTGCCAATGCTCAAGCTGCATTCTCAACACTTCCAACCCCCTTTTTCGCGAGATCATGGTCGCAATAACAGGTAAACTTTTGAATATTACGTCAGATTTGTGCCTTGTCGCCTTTAGTCTCAGATCGAGCCTCGGTTGCAATGGCGTCTTTCAAGTCAACTGCCACCACATCCCCGAATTTTGCGTTAATTTCTTCAAGTGTTAGGTTCTTGGTCTATAGAGAACGTTAGTCATTACCTGTACGCTACAGACTTAGCAAAATGGAAAGTTACCTCTGGGAAGTAGATTGCGATAAAGGCCGTAGACACCAAGGTGACAGCTACAAAGACGAGATAATATTTCCAACCGATATTCTTCAACGCCAAGTTAACCGGAGCGCTATACGCAAGAGCATTGCCATAGAAAGATGCAAAGGCAATAGTAGAGCCTTCACTACGCAGGTGTGTAGGCCATATCTCTGAGCCATAGGCATACGCCGTACATTCGATCGTCGAAGTGAAGGCAAACCCGAAGATAAAGTACAGCGCAACTATGGCGTTGATTCCGGGCTGGTAGGTGGTTTCGAGGTAAAATTTGATCAGTGCCGTCATGATGGCCAGGATTACTGCATTGACTATGCCTCCAATTACTAGTTTGGCAATGTTAGTAAATACGACAAGAAGCAGGCCAGACGATACTTACCAAGAAGTCTGACACGACCGACTCTATCCACGTAAATTACGTTCACCGCGCACCCAATTATCAAGACGACTGTCCATGCACAACCCAAACCAAGCTGAAGAGTCGTCCCGAATCCAAGACCGCCCATTAGTACCGGTATTAGATTGGCGATGGCGGTTATCCCGGTGCCTTGCGCCATAACCCATAATAAGATGGCACAGAACGCCCGCTTGCGAAGATGTGGTGTTGTGAAAATATAGATATACCCCTTGGGAAGATTTCTCTCCGCTTCGACTTGAGCCTTGATCTGTATCGCCTCAGCGCGAGCAAGAGTACCCTTTGGATCCGACTTAGTGCTATGCAGCCGCTCGAGCTCGGCTTTCGCCTGTTCCTCTTTGCCATTTTCCATTAGCCATCGTGGTGATTCCGGAACAAAGATGAGCGAGCAGGCGAAGATAGCCGCCGAGACAGTTTGAACTATGAATATCAGACGCCACTGAACGGGATTTTCGACGAAACTGAATATTAGTCCGAACAATGAACATGCAATATAAGCTGTGACGATGCCGACGCCTTGAAGACCAACTAGTAGCCCACGAGTGTGAGGGGGTGCCACTTCGCTCATGTAGACCGGACTATTAGCCATCACCATTCCCGCACCGATACCACATAGGACGCGGGCGACAAGGAGCATCACAATATGATAGGACGCCGATTGTAGGACGCCAGCCAAAATGGCGACGAGGGCAGCGACGAGATTGGCTTTTCGACGACCCCATTTGTTCGATACTGGGGCTTGTATAATAGCTCCAACGAAAGAGCCACCTAGGAAACTTGCCAACAAACCATCCATTCGTGCAGTCGCATCGGGAGTCGTCAGAAATTGGGCGATGAAGCTGGTCTGTGCTAATGTACTACTCATAGCATTCGCTGAAAACCCATAGAGAAAGCCACCCATGGCTGCCGTAACGCATACCTATCAAGGTCAGAATAGATTTGCATTAGTGACGCGCTCTTTGGCATACCTGAATTGCCCGCTTGCTGGTACCTCTAAGGTGAGTCGGGACATCATCCTTCGTACTGCTTGCATCGCTATTATCCTTTGTGGTAGTAGCAAACACATTGCTCGTTGGAGAATCCTTCGACACGTCAGTAGACTCCATTGTCAATTGTCAAGAGCATTAGGAGAACAACAAAGTCCGGTGAAGGTTGAAGAAAGTTCGAACAGACGCGTCCCGTAAGCTCAATAAAGACTCTATCCTAGCAGAATAACGTCAAAAAAGGTGGCCCATCTACCTGCATAATTGTTGGTAGACTGCTGCTAGCTATTTTGACACTATTGCCAGTAATTTTGACGCTATTCTGCCTAGTAGCTAACATCATGTTTACTAACTGCTAGTGCTGTTACATGGTACATACCAACACCGGTGAGCTAGTGTATGTAATTTGATATCTAAGCTATACTATGTAGGCTCTTGACTGAATGGAACCCTTCAACATTACATAGAAGCTCCATAACGAAGCAAGGGGGGGTTACATTGACGCATAGTTGGGGTTTTGAAAGGAGTTTCATGCATATGCTGTTAGTCGTAGCTGCACATCTGGAGCCCTGTCCACTTCATCCCCTAAGCTCTTTTAGTACATAGTTAACGATATCTCCCTGGCAGTCACTGCGGTATATTTACATACTTACCAGAATGCCTTCTCTCTAGTTAACCAATACAAGCCTGTTCTCGTTTGCCACTACCATCAACCCTACACTGCACTAACATACACACAAAGCCATTCCATTCACCATGCCTCCCACCGTTCCAGAAGTTGAAGTCTTCCCTGTCCTAAAGGGCAAAGTCGCCATCATAACCGGCGCGGCGCAGGGCATGGGAAAGGCTACTACCGAAGTCTTTCTCAAAGCCGGTGCCAAAGTCGTCATGTGCGATATCAAGGAGAAGGAAGGGCAGGAGGTCGCTGCAGAACTTTCTCAGTTTGGTGACGTCCTGTTCGTCAAAGCTGACATATCGAAGTCAGAGGAAGTACGAAGCCTAGTCGAGAAGACGGTAGCGAAGTTCGGCCGGCTCGATGCTGCGATTAACAACGCCGCTCTGACCCCGGACACCACACCGCTAATAGACTTCGACGAGGATTATTGGAGCAAGATCACAGATATCAATCTGAAGGGCACGGCGCTCTGCTGCAAATGGGAGATGCAGCAGATGATCAAGCAAGGCGGGAAGGGCACGATTGTTAACATCGCTTCCATCAACGCCTTCAAGCCCCAGCCAACTATGCCAGCTTACACAGCTGCAAAGCATGCCTTAATCGGCCTGACCAAGCACGCGGCTATGGAGGGAGGTCCTCATAACATCAGGGTCAACGCCATTGCCCCTGGAGCCATTTATGTAAGAGTCCCCGTTTAATCATATCACTTCACCAAAGCTTTAGACGAAAATGCTAACAGTGACCAAAATAAAAGAGCGAAATGTCGGCTGCTGCTATTAAATCAATGAACATTTCGGAAGAGGCATTTTCTGAAAAGTTCAGCTTCCTGAATCGGTTTGGTCTACCTCGGGAAGTGGCACATGGGTCTCTTTGGCTATCTTCCGACGCTTCATCTTACGTTACTGGTATTACTATGCCCATCGATGGAGGTTGTCTAGCCAAGTAACATGGGAGTACTTGAGAAAGGGGTATCTTACGATCCGGAACTCCTTTTCGACTACTACATACGTACTAGCTAGGTAGAAAATAACTTGATCGATGATTAGCATGTAAATGTATATATGTAAATCTATCTATATATTTATTATTATGTTCTTTGACAGACTATTTCGTTTGAAGGAGTCGTGGATAGTAAATAAGAACCCATGCGGTACCAGTAAAGATCAGCGAGTTACAACGTGTTCTTACGCCTCTCGTTGTATATTAATATACTCTTATGATAGCAATAGTTACCAATATTTATGACACGTGCTTGCCAATAGTGCTGATGCTACATGCATTAGAAAAACTGACGTAGCCAGATATTCGAGTACCTACATATGCGGTGAGTTGAATAGTCTGATAGTTCGCATAGTGTATACACTAACTACTTACCTAACGCACATTGGTGGGTACTGTGTCTATCGTAATCGCATACATACCGAGGTAGGTAGGTATGTACAATCAACCAGCAATACACTATCTTACGATATATTTCAATGATGTGGAACCAACAACTCTCTGATACCAGCAGTTAATGGCCCACCATATGCACTGCAACGTCATAACCGCTAGCAACGGATGCAATAGTCGAACAAGCCTGTTACATATGTACTTGGATATAAAGAAAACTCTGCATGGTATTTTACATATGCACATACATAGGTAGGGATCTCGCTCGCGTTTCCTAGAACTACCCGTCACATACATTACATCCTCTCAAAATGGCATCAGCTCAAACAACCTCATCCAGCAGCCCCCGGGTTCACGAAGGGAAACTGGCACTCGTCACCGGTTCGGCAAGAAGTAAATAAATAACCTTCTATAAAACCAGTGCAGCGAAGTATCTGTCTCTAACATATCCACGCAGGTATCGGTGCTGCCATCGTACGCAACCTTGCTAGCAAAGGAAGTAACATCATCGTGAACCACGCCACGGAAACATCAGACAAAGCGGCCGCTGATCTCTGCAACGAGCTGCAAACTGTCTATGGCGTGAAAGCCATCTGGGTTAGGGCCGATATCAGCAATAAGGAAGGCTGTGAGAAAATTGTCGAAGCAGCTAAGACTCACTTTACGAACCCCCAGACAGGCAAGCTGCAGCTCGACATCCTCATTCATAATGCCGGCATTTGTTTTACCGGGTTTCTCGAAGATGTAACGGAGGACCACTTTTATAAGACGTACTCCGTCAACGTCCTAGGTCCTATCCTGCTGACACAGGCCTTCGTGCCATACCTACCCACAGATAGGTCTGGTCGTATCGTCATGATGTCCAGTATCAACAGCAAAATTGGCACTGAGGCCACGACGTTATATGCGGGTAGCAAAGGCGCGTTAGAAGCGGTGGCGCGGGTCATGTCCCGCGAGCTAGCGGAGCGTGCTACGGTTAATACTATCAACCCTGGCCCCGTCATGACGGACATGTACTTATCTGCGCCGGACGAGATCAAGCAGACGCTTGCTCGGTGGAATCCCGTCACACCACTGGTACCGGTTCGGTCGACAGATACGCCGGAGGTGCAGGAGCTTGGGAAGAAGTTTGGTGGGCGGGCAGCATATGATTATGAGATCGCGGGCATAGTTTCTATGCTGTGCAGTCCAGAATCGGGTTGGTGTACAGGGAGCTTGATCAGTGCTAACGGGGGCCTGGCATTTTCTCTCTGATACTTAGAAGTGGGTGAGAGATATACCAGTTTGGAAATATTTTGGAGTAATCTTTAATTACTTACCTAGGTAGCTGATATCTTAATTAAAGCGCATCGCTTGAACGGCGCGACAACTCGATAGACAGTGTTATATATGTACGTACCTAATACCTATCCTATAGGTTAACCCTACCTTCTAGGTATGTAGGTATTCAAATATTCATATTACCGACTAGCTATAATTACTAGAGGGAATTGTCTGCTTAAGTCCTTAATTATAACTCCTAGTTCAAATTTTAAGGCGTTGTCTCATTTGGACTAGAATCCCATTCGAAACCATGAAAGGGGGTTTAGGAAAAGTCGTTTACTGATCAACAGGTACGGATTATCACTATCACTATCACTATCCTTGTGGATCCGATTTCTAGATACGCACGCACCACCCATGAATAGAGGTTTGCCGTACCTAGGTAGGTAGCTGACTAACATTGATAACACTCTTATCAATTGCCCCTTTTTTCAACCTAAGACTCATCGTTATACTTCAGTATATATAAGCACATTAACGGTTAGCGCGCAAGCTATCTACCTCTTAGCAAGATACATTTGGAATTTGTAGCGCGTATTGTTGACGAGTGGTTGATGGTATCAAACCCGCTCTGCAAAATCGAGATAGAATGACAGTCCCGGCATCGCCTTTGGAAACATGAGCGCACGAACCCTTCCGTTTGATCGAATCTCGGAGACGGTGATAGGTAAATCGCCTACTGTAAGGGGTTACAGCACATTGGGTAGCTGCTTAACTTGGAAGACCAGGTAGCTACAAAAGCGAGCTTGCGTAACATTTTCTATACCTGGAAAGATATTATAACAAGGAACGAAGAAATATTGTTGCTATGGCCTCGTTGTATAACATAGATACATAACAGCTGTACCAGAGTACTTCATTCTCGTGCTGCTTTTCAGGGGGCGGGTGGCCATGCGTATAATGATTGACAATAGTAACGATGTCTTGGGGGACAGCCTCTCAGAATCTCGACGCAACGACGGTTAGAAGCGCGGAAAGAAGGCTTTGACGACGAAACTATCGAAGAAACTGTATTGAGTACGAATTGGAAGACGAACTAGCTGATGCAAACAAGAACGGTAGGGCATATGAACCTAATTGATTCGGAGACAACGACTCGGAGCTGGTGGGAGACCTGAATGTAGGTGAGGTAGGTACTAATCTTATGTCGTCTGCCTCCAATCCCATACCATCCCCTAAAAACTACGCAATGCGTCTTTTATGGTCTTCAAATACCTCTCGTCAGATATCAGGCGCCTCGTTAAATCTTTACTTTGGTGTCATGACCCTCTAGACACAACATCCATCGCTTTTAAAGAGTAGTGAATTGGCAGGTTACTAATTAAGTATAGCCACATAGCAGCTTAGCTGATAATTATAAACCATATTTACTGCCATGAGTCGGTTCCTTGGCTCCGTATATAAGCGACCCGTTGCTGCAATAGAAAATTATCAGACTTCTGGTAACTGCGAATTTCTTCCCTTATGCGTATAGTTATAGAAAACGCTGTTTGAGAAACTAGGACCCTATGACCCAAGTTAGTAAATATTTCCTAGCTCTTAGCGTGTGAGGTTACGACGGCAACATACCTTCCTATTAAGTCTTATACGTACGGCGATGTAGCGCATTATTTAGCTGTCTCTATTGATTTTGCCATGTTATCCTCTTGGTATATGGACACCATCGGATATAATGACTTCACCCTATGCTCCATTGACACTGCAAGGGTCTGTTCCATACGTAACTGTCATGGAGTTGGAAAACTCTTGGGTTAGACGGTTATATATTGTATGAGCCTGTGCCCGGAAACTTCCAAAGGCCCAAATGACTTCACTGGTGACTCTGCCTGGGGTGTAGATCAGATAGTCTGTGTCATAGTGTATCTTGAACTTTTCTGTGAAAAGCCAAGTAAGCCACTGAGGATCAACGCAGTACGGATGGCCTCTTATGATGAGTACACGAGACTGGCCGTTGACATCTATTGAGACTGTTCGGATACGGTGCTTATGGATTGTAGCTCTGTATCCATTGACCATGAATTGAATCGCCGCATGTTTGGCCAAGAAGAAGTTAGCGTCGTAGTGACTGAAGAAAGTAACGGAGGCTGCCGACGTTGGAATGGGACGTACTCTGACGTCTCTAATCTCGGCCATAGGGGGTATAATGTGCGTGGCGTATATAGGGCCTACATCCCGGATTGCGGACAGCAGATCTTGGTATGTGCAGTCGGGTGGTAGACGCTCAATCCATAGTCGACAGTTTTGGTCGTTAGTAATAGGAGCGCATTGGTTTCGCGCGAGCCGATGGTTACCGAGGTATCTGTTTTGGCCATCCTCAGATGACCTGCCATGTTGAATGTGGGGAATTAGGTGAACCGACCTATGCCCCACTCCCCACCTAACCTGTACAGGGGCAGCTTGTGTGAGAGACCTGACATTACCTAACCTGTGTAAGAGTTTAGTAGACCTATGGAATAAAGTTCATATTACCACTGGTTTTTAGTGGGTATTTAGTAGGTAACTTAGCCATTTACATATTTACAATCCAATTGATTAGTACTCATTGAGTACTCATTTTATCCGGTAGCAGTTATTATACTACTTATTGAGTAGTATAGTCCGATTGATTAATACTTATTAAGTACTCACTCTATTCTATAGCAGCTACTATACTATTCATTGAGTAGGTAGGTAGTATAGTCTAATTGATTAGTACTCAGTGAGTACTCACTCTATCCGGTAGCAGCTACTATATTACTTATTGAGTAGTATAGTCCAGTTGATTAATACTCACTGAGTACTCACTTTCTTTACAGCGGCCACTATACTACTCATTGAGTACTCAATGAGTACTCTGTGAGCGCTGACCGAGTACCTGTAATAAACCTATTGACTAAATAATTAGCTATCTTTTATTGCCTAAGTCATTACCTATACCTTATAAAAATTTGCTAAATGGTAGGGGTCCACGGGTTAGGTGAATTTTATTCCATAGGTCTACTAAACTCTTACACAGGTTAGGTAATGTCAGGTCTCTTATATAAATTGCCCTTGTACAGGTTAGGTGGGGAGTGGGGCATAGGTCGGGTGACCTATGGTCTCGTTGAATGTTCATTGCCATGGGTGTTTGATTTGTTAGCGGTATGACAACCCCTAATCGTCCTAATTGTGTTAATTTTGAGTATTGTTGAATTTAATCATAGTCGATAATAATAATGATGAATAGCGTTTTCCGACGAAATTTTTAATCGAGACTTTTTAATTCGATAGGTATATGCCATGGAAACATGTTGGAGGGTTATTTAAAAGTGCAACTCACTCTTGTGGTGGCTGCCTATCTGTTTAGGTAGCTGTGCTTGTCGCGTTTGGACGCTGAGAGACAGACGCGATGTTTCTTCGACTGCTCAAGGGATTAGAGTACACCTTGATGAGAATGCCTGATTCTTGTGGTTCTCGTGTAGGGGGCACACAAAAGTTTCGTTGCGAATGCGTTGCAAAAGATTTGTTGTTGTGTACTTAGGTAGGTAGGATTGTAAAAATCGTAGTTGAAAAAGTGTGGTTAAAATAGCACTTAGGAGTCTGAAGTAAGTTGAGTCTGATTTTGGAAACGGTGTTACTAGGCAACTTGCAGCTGGCAGAAAAGTCTGCTAAGTGACACATTGCGATGTTATCATAAGAGGTAGTTACCCCGTCAAGTGTTGACGTGGTTTTTGGTTGTTGTGGAGGTTGGATCCAACTAAGGTGTCAGTGCGTAAGATGACAGAATTTTAGAAGGAGCAATGTTTAGAAAGAGACACTTTAGGAATGGACCTTCTAAACAATATTGACTGCCTGAAAAAGCAAGAGCGTTCAGTGAATTAGGACTTAGTTCGTGGGCAATGCCCTTTCGGATGACAGGTAGGCACAATCACGTAGCTGCCTAAATGTATGCAGCACCCGCAATGTAAATAATTGGAACCTTAAATAAGATAACCCTTCGGATACAAGAGAATTTGATGCCTGCCGAGTCCTTTGGAGATATAAGGGGATCTGGATAGGTTACCTAGGTACTTATAGATTTATATCCATTCCCTCGTTACCCCAGACGGTATTAATTAATAGTAGTGCCCTTAATAGCTCATGTAAGCTATTTGGAAATGTTGCTTCGTATATTAATATTAGTGTATATAGCTTCGGATAATGTAATGGTAAATTGGGGTTGTCTTGTTGATAATGTGGATGATATATAATAGATGTTCAATTCTAGTCTATGTCCATAACAATTCGATCTTGCGTTGATGAGGATGCTGGGATTTAGCTACCTAGCCGCCATCGATTTTAATATCGGCGCTTTTATATTATTATAAATATCTTATAAGAAACTCGCCATATGGATTAGGTACTACCCCTATAGAGTGTAGGTGATGCTTAAAACAGAGTACCAGCTCAGCCTAGGCTCCTAGATAGACTATGAGTTGAATGAAGCCGGAATCCTATTGCTCGAGCCAAGCTAGCTTGCCCTGGTAAACTCACTATCCGGTAGAACTACTTCTGTGCCATAGGCTATGAGAATACGTACGATATTGTCACGAGACCAAAAGGTCAGTAAGGAAGACGATGATGTTCTGGGGAACCAGAACATCAATAGGCTGCAAGGCCTGGATATATACACATGTAAGGTGATGCCTGACTCAGGTACTGAGTCATGTAGGTGACTGGCGAAGCCAGGTAACTACGTGACTCCTGACCGTGACAAATATTACCTTTTCACATGTTTAAAAGTTTGTGTATGTACATAGAGTATAGCGACTAAAAAAATCAATCCAGATAATAATATTCAGCTCGGAACTCTTTCTAAGGTCAAGGCAAATGGAGCTTTGTATATTAAGTTCTCTTTGATTTCTCTCATTTGGATAGTGAGGTGAGATGACTGGTGCCCATGACTATTGATGTCTCAATTTAGAGAAAATTTCTTGTGTATTGTAACATCTTAACTACCTACGTACCTACTCGGTATTTATCATTGAAAAGCTAGGTGAGTCGTAGCCAACTCGGCTTTTCCTTTTAAGAGTCATGAAGAAAGGATACTTTAAGCCTTAGCATGACTTCTCAAAGATCTTGAATTTTCTTTTGCCATAGGAACGAACACTTCATATTACCGAAGGGAGCTTCATGTGGGGAGGACTAATCTTGACCCTTTGTATCATCAATCGAAACTGACCGCAAGCCCCAGAAAAATAATTCCTGTCCCCAAAGTTGCAACAGTTATTATATATTCTGGGGGGATTCATAAGACGGAGAAACTAGCGTATATATCAATAACGCTAAAAAGAGCGGAGGACACGGGGCTACGCTAAATTTCTATGCGATGAAAATGGCGAGCGAACGAAGCTAGGCGGGATGCGACAAAGAAAACGTGATAATTTACCAATATCCTCGTGAGATAACCATTCCAAAGGTAGTACATGGGCAATAGGATAAATACTTTCGAGGCATTTGGACCGGAAACTTATACGGAAGCGTCTAAATCGACCGGAGTACCAATTTGCTTCCCTATGAGAGTCGTCTACCTAAAACCATTAGTGTAATTACCTAATGGCGTGGCTAGCCTGACGAAATTACGTAAAACACATCACAGTCCAGTATCACAAGGATTCTCTTTCTTGAGTTCGTTTTTCTCATTCGGTGTCTAGACGACGAATTCGTAGAACACAGGACTAGAGCCGGTGAGCATATCCCCAACCCTATGACCGCCCCTGCCTTCCCTCGAATTGCGCAGTATGACAAGAGCAAATATGATCAAGTTTCCCTAACCCACACGCCGGATCTAGTTGCAATATGAGACGGAGTTGTCCTGGTATTTGTTTTGGTTACCCGGAAAAAATGCAGAAGGATGAAGAAACAATTAATAGCCGTAAGACTTGAGGGCCTCAGCCGTCTTGCTGTCGACCGTGGCGTTCTTCTTGGCCTCAGACTGTTGTCGTAGCGCCAGCTTCTTGCGCTCGTAGTACGCGGCACCCTTTGCCTTTCTGCGCTCCTCAAGTCTATCATCGATAAGTCAGTATGATTTGCGCTAAGAAATAGTGGTGTATGTTCCCGCAAAGTCGCATAAGGAACATGGCATGGCGGGACGAATCCAATATTCAACGTACCTCTCAACAACACCCTGGTACTTCCAGCCGACCTCGTGGCTCAGACGGCCAACAGTGCAGAACTTTCGGCCGGGTTGCAATCGGAGAACACGTAGAGCCTGGGGGACAACCATCTTCTTCTGCTTGTCGTACGGGGGAGGAACACCCTCGAAGACCTTGAGTCGCTCCAATGCGGCGGCGCCTCGGGCGGTCTTGTGGGGAATCATGCCGCGGACGGCCTTGTAGAAGATCCTTGAAGGGGCACGGAAGTGGAAGGGACCTAGGGGATGTTAGATATCTTGTATTCTTCGAGACTCGAGTCGCGATCTATCCAGAATCGCCGTGGGGGGGAGAGTTCGAACATACCACCTCGGGTAGGGTTGTATCGGGTCATCTTGCGAAGGTAGGCATGGTACTTGACTGTTTCTTATGTTAGCTGCTGTATTCTACTTTGCGTCTGCCGACCAAAAAATTCCCAAGCTCTTGTCTGATTTTGTTGCGGTCCTGACAAATTCCTAAAATATCGACACGATTGGGGAGTGGCGGTTACGTACGCTTCGAGCGGAAGAATTCGCCCGAGATGTTCAGGGCCTCGGAGCGGACAACGACGATCTTCTGACCGTTGAGGAGCTGCTTCGCGACGATACTGGCAAGTCGACCGAGAAGGTGACCCTTGCCATCAATGACGACCTATAAAGGAATATCATATTAGTCTCGGTGTGTAATTGAATTTTGATTTGTGTAATATTCCAATTGACAACGCAGGCTGGCCACCAACTGATTCAACTCAACATGCCCCATCGCTCGCCAGGAAGGAATAATGCTGAATGAATAAAGTCGGCTACTCACAACAGGCTCGAAGGACGACATCTTTCCGGATCGTCACCACGGTAGTTCGCGAGGTGAAGAGAAGGAATGTGGAAAGAAGAGAAAGAAGGAGGAATTAAATAGCTCAAGAGCGCAATGGGGAAATGCGTCTGAGACCTATTGGATTATTCCTCGCTGTTGTTGGTTAGTAGTCGCGGTTGTTGTTGAGGGTCGCAAATATGAAAAGGTTCATCACAGGATGATGAAAATTATCGGGCACACAATCGCAGAGTGTGCACCGTGGGAGAAGACCGCTAATCCAAGTTTGGAATGGTGGGGCTCTAGCGGGAAGCGAGAGGGTTTATCGCCTAATGTACGGAATACCTAGGGCTCGCATGACCTAACAATTATTCTAATTTACCTCGTTTCTGTGTGTATGTACCTACCTATGTATGTAGATGCCTTACGTACGCATTTTACGTAATATTAGGTACCTAGGTACCTATTTTTGGAGTGTGATAAGGTTCTCTCACGATGGCTTCACTGTTCGTCGCAACCTTGTAACATATACAACCTTATAACATACATTATTGATTATAGGTATGTAGCCACATAAATGCATACCTATTTACTTTGATATACCTATCTTAGGTAAGTTAGGTTCCTTATGTAGACATCTCGCCATTTCCTTATTCATTTTGGACTTGATTTATTTTTCTCTCTCCTTCTATGCAACCATTCCTTAGGTACAATATTAATATTAATATTGTCAACCCGTCTTGTGATAATGCATCGATATCTATCTAGCCTGTGAACCCGTGATTTACTAAGCAGATATGTCTTGGGTAGAACTAGTGAGATGCTATCGTAATGAAGTAGCTTCGACAGCAATCTAAGGTAGAGGCGAATCTTGGAAAATATGGTAGTTCTGGAACCCGCAAATAGGAAGAGATGCATGCGCATAGATCACCTATCCTTAGGTCTACTGGAAAGAGGTAGACACTCATCGATGTCTTTTAAGACATCCTGAACATACTTCACGAGCTCCCTCCTCATCGCTCTGACGTCCAGGTCACCTCCCGTATCTACCTCGTCTAATTTTAGCAGCACATGCTGCATGATCGTTTCGCTTAGCCTCCGATGTTCATCCTTTAACTTCTTCTCATCTCTTGGCGGGTTATCCAAAAACTGCTGACAACCTGGTAGGAGTTGTGCGTCGAAATGGGATCTGATCGCGTCTAGCTTGTCTTTAGGCCCTGAAGGCACTGCAGGAGACGATACCCTGGATGGGTGAATAGACGGATCTGGGGACGGCTTCCTGCTCTCTCGTTCTCGCTGCCCGGGTACTTCGAGATTGGCAGTACTTTCGCGGGGATCGATGCGATCTTTCTTCTTCTTCCGACCCCCCTTGTTTTTCTTAGCCTTCTTCGGCTTCTGTTGACCCTCTGTGACGATGACTTCTTCGCTGCTGGTCCCGTCATCCTCGTCGCTCAGTTTACCCTCAGGTACTACAACTAGCAATTCGCTATTGTTCTTCACGCCGTAGTCGCGAATGGGAACATCCTGCTCTGTGAGTTGACGGCCTTTGTAGAGCATCTTCATACGATGAGTCCGACGGTCACTGAGATCCATAACCAATCCCACGCGAACCCGCACATCTCTCACGAGTAATTTACCATCGCCGATTGAATATGCAGGGAAATGTACGGGATATGTAACACCCTTATTTTTGATTAAGAGAACGTCATCGTCGAGATTAGCAGGAGGCGGGGCTCGTCGACTTTGAGGCTCATAGGCCCGAGAAGAAGATGGTAGGGTATTTTCAAGATCTTCGGATGTTATATAGCTAAAGTCATCTTCGGTGACATGAGGCACGCCCTGAGTGTCGGTCTGTGAAGCGTATGGCGATATGTTGTCGCGACTACGGCCCCAAAATCGAGACATCATCATGAAAGGTACGGCGAGCACAGCGGAAGTGTAGGCTAATGTTGAATATGAAACTCCCTGGGAAGCAAGATACTCGCTGGATCCAACGACAGCTTCGGAGAGGTGGTCAACTGTTGCCTGAACGTAATTCTGTAATGTAGGTGGTAATAATGTTGTAAGATTCTTGATGGCACTAGCCGATGCCAAGATTGCCTGACTCGAAGCCACCTTGAAGAGCTAGGTTGTCCCGGAGGACACCCAGCAATGGTTGTTTATTTTAACTTGCGGAGAAGTAGGTAGCTGCAGAGTTGCAGATCTAATCGTTGGTACCGAGACTTGCGGCAGACAATCTTTTGGGCATTCGTTTGACTGGATGCAAGCAATATCGGGACGGAGCGGTGCATACGTATGGTTCTAGGACTTATGCATAAGTTTCGATTGTCTTATAGGTTGTCGCCTCCTACCTGAGCAAACCGGATTGCTGTTGCGACTCTACAGGCTAGGGATAGGTAGGCCTTGGGCCTTGGGCCTTGGGCTTTGGACTTTGGACTTTAGGGATGTATAGTATCTGTATATGAACTTTGTATACCTTGACTATCGATGATGCGTTGTCGCTGTTGGACGGAGAAGTTCGGTCAAAGAGGAACCCACGATAGGTCGCTAGGGATGGTCATGCGATTCGAAGAGCAACTTGGTTATGGATCTTCCATAAAAGAATCGTCTAGGAGGGTCTCCCTGTTATTGGATAGTCGGACACGCGTATGCACGATAAAGGTCTAAAGGTCGAGGATTCTTTGCCAATATGTACTGAAGAAATGGCCTATATCGGTACTGAATAATATGTACAGAATATGTACAGAATATGTACAGTACGATAAATGCAATGAAATATGTAAGGAGAAGATTTAGTTATTGGGTAACTACCTAGCTTATCTAGGCCCGGACCTTTTTTTCTCTCTCTCTTATTTTAATCAACCATCAATTGGTGAGGAGCCAGGTGTCGGGGCTTTAGTGGTTGAAACAAAGGCAAGGCTGGCTGTGGATTCATCTTAAGAGAAAACTTGGGTTAGGCGGGGTTAACAAGGTAGTTTTTTATGTAAGCTAACATGAGCTGGGCAGTTGGGTTACCCCACTTTCACGTTCTGGATGCTGTGCGTACAAGTACCTAACCTTAGTACCTTTTCAGGTACCTAAGGTACCCAGATACAGCCGAGTCCGGTACCAGCGCTCAACCGCCTTTTTTTCGTACATGGACATATTCGGTAATTGCGTCATTTTCTAGCTGTCAAGATCGGATATGTACCTTTCAGCAAAACTTATATGAATAGGTACGTTATCTATCGTGATTGTCAAATTCCGAAATCTGTTATCCGTTGGCTCTGTATTACCTCAAATACTTCATCTCACGTTTTGCATACAACCTTTGGGGCCTTCTGCCGTCATATCCAGGTAGAGTACGTATCGGGCTGTAGGTAATTCTCATCCCGGGTCCGCGGCACACATTCCACCGACGACATCCGCGACCCTGTGACGAAATCAGGTCATGACAAATACAATTTGCCATATCCATCACGTCTTAGTAAAAATACTAAATACTATAAAAAACACTGACACCCCACCAGTTCATAGATAACAACATCGATTTACTAGCGACTTTCATGTTTCTTATCCGCCGACTTTTCTCTGCATCTATATCGCCGCAAGCCATGGCCGAAGCTAAGACTAAAGCTCAGAGCATCATCGATGAGAACGCCGTCGGTAAGTGTTCACTACCTACAGATTAGCTCCATTAATATAAATCAGTCACTGCTTTATATTGGCCCCTTGCGCGATTTTACTCCCGCTGACAAGAAATGTCCTATAGCGGTGTTCTCTAAATCGTATTGCCCCTACTGTAGCGCCTCGAAGCGCCTCCTCGACAGTCTAGGTGCCAAGTACAAGCTGGTAGAGTTGGACGAGGTGCCTGATGGCTCTGCTATCCAAGATGCGCTTCAGGAGATTTCGGGCCAGCGCACCGTCCCTAACATCTGGATCGGAAAGAAGCATATCGGTGGCAACTCAGACTTACAGGCTAAATCTGGCGAATTGAAGAGTCTGCTTACCGAGGTCGGCGCTTTGTGACTAAATGACTCCCGATCTAAGTTATGAAGGACTATGAGATGACACCGCAAATCCCCAGGTATCCTCCGGTTAGGAACGAAGAAAGGATTCATCATGTTTGGTATTCAATAGTATGCGTCTGAACATGCCCTACCGACAGTGTGGATCAGGGGATAAGCAAGCAATGATAACGGACTTTCTTGTTAATCAAGCATCTTAGATTTTTATTCTTGTTAGCTAGACTACCGCGCTAGGATTTATTATAGATCGGTATTTATAAGACAGAGCTTCTATTTAAGAACGACGAGTTTACTTGAGTTTTGCATTAGTACAATGTAACCGCTTTACTGTACCTGTCCTAATATATATTCCAAACGTGGAAAACGCATAATAAACAGGTCACAGGAATCTCATATTGATATATACCTGTATCTCGCCAGTGAGCAGACCATGGAGACTTCCGCTGTGATTCGCTTCACCATCCACCGTCAACTAGATCATTTATCCTCTCAGCGGTTTACACTAACACCTTAGAATCAACCCCTAAGTGAAGAAAAAGACGGGCGGCCTATGAAATTACCGTACAAGAACCCATGTTCGCTCGTTTCCTTGTATTAACGTATATCGGTACAGCGTACAAGCCGACCTAGAAATTATTTCAAGTATCACCACTCTTGAATGCAAAGTTGGTAAGCACTTTTAAAAACATTGGTGTGAAGCTTCATAGCCATGGAAAATCGACGGCTTTGAGGCACTTTCGTGCTTCGCGGGCTGCGATTATTCCGGAGCAGCTTAAAGGGGGTCTAGGAAAGTCATTAGTGTGGATGTTAATTCATACATTTCCTTCTAGTCAAACTTCTCACTAACCAAGATCATAGGAACAAGTTCCGTGGCCTAAAGAATGGAATGACATTGCGTGGAACAAGTAAATCGAGCCCCTGAGCGCATACGAGAAGGGGCTTACGGAAATTCGAATGTAAAGGACTCCTAAAATGTGCGTCGGAGAAGGGTATATAAGAAACTTCGTCATCTATGAACCACTGAATGGTTCATAGGGCCTCCTTCCTCGGAAATTCTTGAAAGCCGAAAGGATCGATGTGCTTCAAGCTCGTACGAGGGCGTCTCAGAAGGGAGGGGTATGCTTTCAACAGTCGCTGTAGCAGTGCTGGGAGTCGGTGCGCCAGGATGAGAGTGGCTCACGTGCCGAAAGGGACAGTACCACATAGCCAGGATGATGGCGATCAGCACGATGGGGACGAGGATTACAGCAATGGTACTTGCCGTATCCAACATCCTGTCGATTAGCAACGCAGGATAATATGGGCATCGAGCGTTTCAACTGAGTCAACCACGCTAGAGGTTCGGCGGCTGAGAGTTCGAGAAGAGCCTTTCGGGGAATATCGAGGTGGTCTAGGCGGTCTAGGTAGTGTTTTGACATTAAGAAAAGGCACAATAGAGAAAGGAACAGATGTGTTCGAACGACATAATCGACTAGGCTTTTGAATTTTCCTGGTTTCAGCAACAGGTGGTTGCATTCACACTCGGTACAACGTGACCATTTAATTTATTTATGTATAAGTAGTATACAGCCATATCGGTTCCTGATATTCGACATCAAGTCTAAGCTTTGGTGTCATCTGGTGTTTTTCGCTCGTGTCTGAATCTGCCATGTCTATCATACAACCACCGGCGCCGGTAGACGACGGATTCCCTTCGTCATGATGAAACAGGGCCAAGCAGCTCGGATCGAGGAGGTGAATAAGATATCGTCGCATTCGGATCTTTAGCCTACCTTAGTATACCCGGCCAAGTAGTAGCATACTTGAATCACCCGGGGCCATCTTGCATTACCGAAATGTAGATGGGTAGTAAGAATGGGCAAATTAACACGACCTTGATACTATCGCTAGATGGTACAGTAGTAAGTGGAATGCTGGGTAATATACACCAATGCACAGATGCTCGATGCTCGACGCTCAAAATGTACAGTTCGCCAGTTATAGGTGACTTCGGCATATGCGTCATACCACCTGTGTGGCGACCGTGCCCACTGGTCTCTCCACAAACTCCATAATACCCTCAACAATGTTCTTCCTCGCCGGTTCAGATGCAACTTTGCTGCCGGCTAGATAGTTGAGCCACAATAATCGGGATACTCGTTCATCGGAGACACGTCCAATTGTTCCCATGCCGGCCTTGCCATCGTCGAAAGTGATCGTCAACTGTCCAGTAGTGTCGCGGACCAGGAGCATTTCCTGCCCCTTCGGCACCTTGCCTCGGTTGAATAAACCTCGGAAGTCCTTCATAGCTTCGCCAAAATTTTCATCGCCAAAATCGCGGCTATTACCTTGCGACCTCGCCGAAATCGCTCGCACAAATCCATCCCTTAAGTGATGGAAGTCAGTATCTCTCACCGGCACAACTCTGAATAGCGAACGTGGTCGTACGTCCTGCAGTATGTCGTTCCACAGCTTTTCTCCCCGCTCCGGATCTAACAGCACCTTGCGCAATTCGTCCTTTTCATTCGGCACTAGTGTCGTCGCGATGGGGTTGATCTCCTTGACTAGGCGCGACTGTAGCGCAGCGATGTCCTGCGTAGCGATGTAATATCCCACCATATATACTTGAATGCTTAAGAAGCTCACTGTCCTCACGCCCAGACCGACCAATGTGTACTCTACCCCGTTGACCATCTCCCGTCCTTCGGCGACACCAAGCGCAAGGTCAAGGGTTCGTGGAAATGTAGGGACGGTGCTATTCCCCGTAGGCACAAGTTCTTTGCCATCTTCGTCGTGGATAACCGTTTTGCGCTTCGAACCGGCTTCGGTGCTGAAAGGGTCGAGCTTATCCGGCAACCCGCTGTCGAACTTTGTCGGCTTCTGAAGCCTTAGGTAGAGAAGATACGAGGTGTAACAGATACCAACTAAACCCGAGACTGCGCCGCATAGGAGGAAAATTCGCCGCCGAGCGTAGTAGTCGTGGGATTCTGTGCGCATACGACTGACATTGAGGTTCTCAACCGCTCGGTGAGTTGGTCGCTGAGGTCGTAGGAATGTGCGGCATTGTTGCGGGTTAAAAGGTAGACGGCTAGAATATAGGCATTGGCGCGATATAAGAGGTTTGAGTACGAGACCGGTCTGTGAGGTGCATATCGGCTTCATCGTGGGCAACGGTATACAATACAATGGAGAGAGGTGTTGCTTTCCGCAAAACCAATTGAAGCTTCGAATTGAACCCGAGATTATTCCCATCCACTAGCAAAGGTACATGTAGATAGGTACCTACGTGGGTACCATTGATGAGTAAAACTACGTCATCATCGGGCTTAACTACATATACCCACCTAGGTACATATAGTTTACATAACAGGTTAGATACCTAGGTAGGTACGTATCCGTCATCCTCCCGAGTCTTTTGACCCCCTTTCCTAACCCCTTTTTATATCGCTCATTCTCATTATTGTTTCTAACGGTCTATTTACACCAACTTTTTGTCCTACTAATATTTCTATAAATCTATAATTCCAACTGGGACCATAGGATTCAGACCGACTCTTTGCTACCACCGGATGTATGTACTGTGATATCATATTGGATAACTTTCCGAATACCCCGAACTTCCTCCACATCGCTGCTACGATCTAGCGATCCGGTCTCTTCTAGCATATACTCCTGACTATTGCTACTACCGGTAGACTTACATCCCTGAACGGATGTCACACGCGTGCTCAGCATCTCGCTGTCCCCGCGGGTCGGGGCCCAATAATTCCGACCAGAATTATTCGTCGGTTGGCTCGGCTTGTAGCTAGATGAGGTGCGCTTTGATGTCGACATAAATACCGACGGAAATAGCCAGTTGAGCGGTCCCTTACACATAGGAAGACACGCACATATTATGGCAACATTCTCCTCAATAACTGTCCAGGTTGAAGAAGCAACGTCATAGGTAGGGTCGGAGCTCGTAGACGAGAAATCGATTGTCTGCATGCGTATGATGCTCGTTATAGTTACGCTATAATAAGCCAAGTCAGCCCACTCGCCTTTTTCATTATACCTACTCAGTGTCAGGGGGAAGAAACGATTCATAACTCACAAGATCCCTAAAGCGAACACAATCATCAGCGCCCATTTCTGCTTCGGCGGCAGATTAGACCGGAAAATAGGTTGCATGGGAAGCACAAGGATTATAATATCCGTAGCGATCGAGAAGCCCGCATTCGCATACCAGTTACTAGTGATACTGATGCATGTTCCCGGTACAGACTTGTCCCAAGCCCTACTTATTGGAGTACACTGCCATATAGACGAAGCAGCGGTAGCCAGCATATAGCTCGAGATTATACCCAGCAAGACATAACATGAGATCCTGAACCATCGTTGAAGGAAAATGCGGAGATATAATAGGAGGATAGACGCCTTGGTTAGGTTTAAGGTGAGCTTGTAGAATGCTTGGGCAACATAGTAGAGCTATTTTATGCGTTAGCTTATTATCTCGACAGGGTGAAATTCTATCACTCGTGCGTAGGTAGTTTACCTTTAGCGCCAACGTTTGATCTTGAGCTGGAATATTATATATATGCTGTCCAAACCCGTGTTTACACGCAGTTATTAAAAGTCCCGAGACGGTCTGCGCGAAAGCCTTGGAGGACATAAAGGTCAGCTAATGTAAACAATACTGTTTTAGACTCAAGTTTACCATACCCATGAGACTATGATTGTCCCATCATCCCATCCAATCCCGGAACCAGTTTTTAGTCGAGATAGTATCCGTATAGATAGAAACAGGGGGGTCAGCGCAAAAAATACAAAACAAGGAATTTCTATATCAACAACATTACTCTCCACATGCGAATTCATTTCGATCGTAAATGCAGTTGGAAAGGCACATCAATCCACGAATGTTTTTTTAGATTATTAGCTTCCGTGTAGACCAGGTAGGTAGTTATATGATACTTGTATTTGATATTTTCTCTTTTCTTAGGCAATTCGTCATCATATGAACAGCCGAAAAAGAAGATACTGTCGTAGTGCTAAGTATTAATATTACTACAACGTCCAATAATGAGAATATGAGGTTCCCAATTTGGTAATCGATATGAACGGGTGTGTCTCAAAAGTACGAGCCTATGGTCGTATCGTTACTTAATACTACTGTTTTATTGGTTGCGGACGCGTTGCTCTGGCATTACGATCAAGTTACTCAGCTGTACGAACCCTTCGGTATTCAGTCTGCCGAGCCTCACTCACTAAGATGACGAACTATAAGGTAGCTTACACTGATGCGTTTTCTTTATAATTGTAATGTCTACCGTTGGCTCTCTCGGAGGAAGTTTCTTTACAACCGGAGTACATACAAGGAGTCAACCACTTCGCGCCAAGAGAAGACAATAGGACAATGCGAATCTAAACGCGGGGGTTTGCTGCAATTAGACCCATTAGTAGATTAATTAACAAGTCTCTATTCGTATGCAATGCACTAACTATATTCCGACCTCCCTCACTCCCTTAGACGCTAGGTATATTAAATCAAAGAATTCGCAGTGATGCTGCTAAAACCATTCCGTCCTCATACTATGGTCGTATATATCATCGGACAATTTACATGACGAAGCAAATGCATACCCGATATCAAGTGGACGAAGAACTGAAGGGCGAAGAGCACCTTTCAATAAACAGAGTATGTCGCTCCTTTCTATGAGAGCATCTTGTCCATTGCAAATCCAAAAACTCCCATTCTGGAACAGGACTTGTATCTTGTCCAATAATACGAGGAGTTTAAGTGAAGCTTCGTATTTCCTTAAGCGATATTTGAATAAATCTTCGTTATGCCACTCCGCAATGAAAACTAACAGCTTTTCGTATATCTCCTTTCCTTAAGATCTATAATCCTCTGAAATATTTTCGAACCATTTCTCACGCAATATCTCACAGGGCGTGTTCGTGATTACCGCAGATGGCTTGATGATTTTTCCTTTATATCATTGATACGGTCCCTGAGATGTGAAACGTAATGGCTAACTTTAGGCATGGGCGATACTAGTGCTTGACAGATACTGATCTTAACACCTTCTACCTGTAGTTCTCGCCTAGACTTCGACAGCTTTAGCTTGGCCTTGACTTGTGGGGGTATCCATGTCATATTTAATCCCAGATATCGAAGATCAGGGACCCATGATGGAACCCCTTTGAGTTTTCCAAACGTTGTCTTCAGTAGTCTTAGGTCCCTGGTCTGTTCAAAGATATACGCTACAAAGTCGTGGTAAACCTCCTCGTACGGTTTGGTGTAGTCTGGGCTCAGCTGGCTTGGAAGGGCGCGGCCATTAGTCTTTTCAACGAAGGCGCAGACTTGATCATGTGGAAGCGTCGCTTCAGCCTCTCCATATGCCAAAATTATGTGGAGAAATCCGGCAGTGTCAAGGGGTATTCCAGCTTCCTCTACTGCCTCTGTTTCGTGAATCATCATCCATGCATCGGCAAGGCTTCTAAGTTGGTGCTCGTTAAACACTAACTCATCGTTGGAAACCATGGCCCATAAATCGAATAGATCAAGCATAGGTATATATTTAATACTTACCGATTATAATGGTAGGCCATTCAGCCGCTAGGGTCACCTCCTGTCTCAACCATATTCCTTTGAACCATGGTAGTCTTGTGAGCTTTTCAATAAGGCATAGGGATGCTGCCTCCAGCTTTCCTCGTCGAACTTTTCGTCAAAGAATTACCTACGTTTGTTAAGGTCAAACCCTCTAGGCTCGGGGGCCTTTATGCCGCGTAAACATTATCCCTAGAATCACGCAGACTAAGATATTCATGCCTTATCTAAAGTTGCACCCCCGATATTACTGGAACGATATTTTTCAGGCTTTGGAGATCCAAGGTTACATCGGAGGAATAACGCGATGAGGAAGCTGGTCTTTCCACTAAGCGATATCTCCGCTGCAACTCTAGCTGAGCCAAGACCAATATACGCCCGTACATTGTCGATATTGGATATAGTAAGTTAATTAGAGAATATCATTCGGAATTGTCAACTAACCCATTATATATATAACCTAGGGTATTGCATCAACAAACATCTGTACAATATCGAACCAATTTGCTTATTACGCATATGACATATAGGTAGGCCTATATAAATAGTCTCAATCTTGGTTGCTTCCATACGTAGCTCGTAGCTTTCAAGAATGGCGAGGGGCTTCAACATGGGAAACGGTGTAAAGTAATACGCATTTTCAAAAGAGGGCGGTGCTCTGCATACGTGGCAGTGCATTATACCGATTGTAAGCACACATTCTAGTCATGTATATAGAATTTTGCAGAAGACATGGGTAGACGAAGTTCGGTATTATGTCGACATCCGGATCCCGGCAATTCTGATTTCATAGTGAGGGGTTAAAATCATACTGTTTGCTATCGAGGTACAGCAAAATGAACCAGAAACTAGGACTAAACAAAGTAAACGCTAAAACGCTATCAAGTTTAGCCAGTCAATTCTTGTCAAACCTTCGGTGTTAATAGCCGCATCATTTACAAAGCAGGCTAATAAAGACTGAAGGTCAAGGGCGCTAAATCAGTAGCCGCTTTATCTAAAAGCATATAGGACCCAATGCACTGGTACTTTAGGATAGATAGACTATAAACTCCACTAACAACATGAGGATCATCACGGTTGTAGCAGTAATCCTTTCTGGATCTACTGAACTCGTTCGGTGCGCGTTTGCTCAAGATGCAGGTTCAATAGGAGATGTGCCATCTGAGGGAGACTTCAATGGCTCGAATTTTACATATCCGTTTCCTCTGAAGACATATAAGTTTACATCGCAACATCAAGAGCTTGAAATGGCATTCATGGATCTTTCACCAACAGTTGAGCCGAACGGAAAGGTCGCTATTTGCCTTCACGGAAAGAATTTCTGTGGACCTACTTGGGAGGCGACAGCTAGACAACTTTCGGCAGCAGGTTATAGGGTTATCTTGCCGGATCAGGTCGGCTTTTGCAAATCCTCCAAGCCAAAGTCGTATCAATATACGCTACAACAGCTCTCATATAACACGAGAAACTTGCTACATGCGTTAGGCGTTGGGAATGTGACTGTGATCGGCCACTCTCTGGGAGGCATGACATCCGTGCGCTTCGGCTTGATGTTCCCTGAAATTGTTGAGGAGCTTGTCCTGGTGAACCCCCTTGGACTAGAGGATTGGAAGGCCCTCGGTGTGCCGTACAAAAGCATCGACGACCTATACGTCTCCGAGTCCGAAAGCAACTACACGTCTATCCGAGCATATGAGCAATCAACATACTATGTAGGGAAGTGGGACGACTCATACGATGTATGGGTGAACATGCTAGTCAATATCTACCAGGGAAGCGAAGCGTCTACATTTGCTTTCGATCAAGCACTTGTTACTGATATGGCCTTGAGTGCGCCAGTGGTATATGAGTTCGGCTTGCTGAAGCCGCGGACTCTTTTGCTGATAGGCGACAAAGATAATACAGCACTGGGCAAGCAATGGAGCCCACCGGAGGTGCAGGCTAAATTAGGCCACTACGATATGTTGGGGAAACAGGCTGCTGCCGCGATACCAAATGCAGACTTGATAGAATTCGCCGATTTAGGACATGCGCCTCAAATCCAAGAACCAGATAGCTTTCATGAGGCGTTGCTTGGGTGGTTAGAGGGATGATGACTTGAAACGCCCACCAAACGTATATATAACTTTACATATGAACACTGGGCTTCAAATGACAGCCAGATATATAAATTCTGCCCTGTAGCTTACCTGTAAATGAGAAACCACTGTTACTCTATAGAACTGATCGCTCTGCTACATTTTAGACGAGTACATCCCACTTAGCATGCTACCAGACCCTGGGAGGATAGAATAAAACCCGCCAGAAGGGCAGAACCTAGTGACTTATATTATGTATGTATTATTCATAACTAGGTAATATTAATAGTATTAACAATCTCTTAATTAGTATATCTCGCATAGTATGTTTCTTCAGTTTAGTTGGGGCGGGTTAATCATAGTAAAATAGGGGTAAAAGGGGCTTGTTCTAGGTTACTAATACTCATACATGCATAAACTGGTTAAGCGCTTATTGGCTCAATTCCATTATAGGGTAAGACTCGTCTTGGATCACATGTCTCCCTTGCCTTAACCTCCCCTCATAACACAAAGAATAGCTAAGCACCTACGTATGTTCTGAGTCATCTTATGTAATCTGTTGGACGTTTATATAAGAAGCTTATCTCATATAACCATAATTCTCTTTTGCTAACTCAATAAATAACACTAAGATGTCAACACCATATAACTAACAGGTTTTTTTCTAGTTATTCGATAAACCTATTACGTATTGAGATTACTACCTACTAAAGCTCTAAAATTCCATAACTATGGCATCTGCAAAACTCTTTAAAGGTATTCCTAGCTTCCCAGATGATGTACCCCTTGCTAGGTACTACGGACACAATCTCTCTAGCAAGCTTAAATGTAGGCGATGAGGCTGCTGTTAAAAGGCTATTTGCCGCGTCTCAAGAATTGGGGTTCTTCCTCCTTGATCTACGAGAGGATAGCTTAGGCAAGACAAAAATTGAGGAGATCTCTATACCCATTTGGTCTCAATTGAAGTAATCAAACTATCCATCCCTTAATTCCTCTTGTTTATATATTAGCAACTTCTTACTTGCTGTAAAAGTACAGATTCTTGCACCGGGAAAGGACCCAGGGGATGCAGATGCTTGGTTGTGGGTACATCCGCAGCCGGGATGCAGATGCTTGGTTGTGGGTACATCCGCAGCCGGGATGCTTAATTGTAAACCTAGGCGACGCGATGGTCCAGTGGACCAGTGGATTACTACGCAGTAACATTCATCGCGTCAAATATGCACCTGGCCTACAGCGCCTCGTTGATCGGTATAGCTTAGCGATTCTCGCAAGGCCGGAACGGGATGCTAGCATGAGACGATTAGTAGGCGAAGGTGAGGATAGCGAACTGACGGCTTGGGAATGGGAAGTTAAGAAAGCTATGGCGTTAAAGAGGGGTGCCAATATCATGGAGAGTAAGGGTGGGCAGCCGACTGTAACTGGGTGAATAATGGATTATGCTGAAGGATTTGTTGCTGTATTCGCTTACAATCTGAAAAACTGTACTGTAGTAGGTTGTGGTAGGTAGCACAATACACAACACTGGGATAGAATAATCGCGCTCGAATGGGAACCGAAACATGTCTTACTCAAAGCATTACGATTGGAGATTATAGGGAATAGTTTTATACACGACAGTATCGCACTAAGGCCTGTGGTTTGCTATGTCTCGGTTCGCTGCATATGCCTACCTGACCATCTAAGCCGTAGGGGTTAATAAGTTGACTTCTATTTATAAGGCGAAGCGGACAATTCAATTCGTTGGCAACTATCTCTTCCACCTGTTATTTTCTCTAGTTACACGTACGTAGATTATCTTTGCTCGCCATACACACTTCCCGAAATATATTAAATAGGTACCCAAGCCTGTACCTGTTATGGCGGACAGTACTCATCGCAGCCGTTCGCGACTAGCCGAATCGGCATATCAATCCCCTTACTCTTCTGCCGGCGCCCCGGGTCCCCACCCCAACGGAGACCCATACGCGTCCCTCCGTAGCCAGGCGCTTTCCACTCTCGAAGCTATGGGTTACGACCCTAAAACAATGGTTGAACGCGGAGTTGTATGGGCTGAAGATCAAGACCCCTTTGGACATGTTATGCACACGCAGTATATGCACTTCTTCGGTCAGTGCTTCTATCGCGTCATGGAGAGCTATGATGAATTCCTCAGCGAGCAAGAGTACGATGACATGATCAACGCCAAGACCGTCATTCCCGTCATCCGTAGATATAATCTGGATATTCGGAGACAAGTCAAGTATCCCGATTCGGTCCGTGCCGTTTTGGTACCTACCACTTTCGGATTCAAGTTTTACTAATCTATATATACAGCTTATTGCAGCATATCGCCAAGAACTCATAGAGCCAACTCGTAATACTGGAACAACATCCTTATTCTCGCTCAAGCAACAGGCTATCGTGGCCGAAGTTAAAGGTTCCGTGACTTATATGGATGTTAAAACCGGCCGTCCCGTCGACATCCGGACCCTTAGTGGTGGATGGCCGGCCGTATATGATGGCTTTACTAAAAACACCGAGCGGTCAAAGGCGCTTAGAGAAAAGTGGGAGATCGAGCATCGTAAATCCAAGATCTAAGAAAACCATTGCTCAAGATAGGGTAGTTACCTAGTTATACCCATTCTTTAAGTTTAGCCTTCGGGTTTAACCATCCACGTCTACGGGTCCTTTACTTGAAGTAATTGGTTATGGGGATTAGTGTGAGACACGGACTACGCACTCTATCCGGGGCGTGGGCCATTATATCGGATGCGGTCCGGATCAGCGCGTAGGGCTGGCCATTCACCACTTGAAGATTACTACCCAATACGTCAACGTAGTGCCACGTACCCAGGAGCTCTAGCTGTTGACTTGATGTCGCACAATATATAAGGCGTAATTGCTAGTCAGCGATTACGGCGCCATTTTTTCGCATTCGACACTTGATCAATATCTTCTAATTATAGAAAATATAAGCATTCCATGCTGATCACTCGGTGTCAACGAAGTACAAGTACAATCACGTTGAAGAAAAAGACGTTTAATGGAGACACATCGGCGTCTTAAAATAATAAGGTAGATACCTATCTAGGTATATAGGAAATCCCTATAAAAGTACAGAAATAAAAATGGGGTATTTTGTAAAAGTTCGCACCTAAACGATCCTGTTTCGTGAGTCCTTTCCTCAACTACCACTTGTAGGACTGGTCCACAGCTGACGCACTCCTTTTCCCAACATTCTTAAATTCCTTATGAGGAGATCCGCTTGTCCTCGCGGACGGAGGTTGTCTGGTCCTCGTCATCCTTGTGGTAAAGGGGCTCAAGCACGGCGTTGCGCTGGAAGAAGACCCAGCGCTTGATTCCATAAGGTAGCGCCTTGGTGACCTGGTACTGGGCAAACTTGCGGTTGGGAACGGCAAACACGTAGTCGAGCTCTTCGAGAGTGCGCTGCTTCGTCTCGGGTACGAGGAAGAAGATCATGATAAGCGCCACAAAGTTGAAGCCAGCATACAAGCCAAATGCACCGACGGTGTGTAGTCTGTCAAGAATGAAGGGGAATGTCATACTGAGTACAGCAGCCCAGAACAAACAGGTGGCGACAGCAAATCCCATACCAACCTCACGATGGGAGAGGGGGAAGACCTCGGCACTGTAGGTGAAAGGAACAGGGCCTTCACCAGGGGAGTAGAAAGCGCCGAACATGAACACGAAGAGAGCGACGAGCGCAGTTCTCGCCGTTCCCTGTTCCATGAGAGTGCACAAACCGGCCGCAAGTAGAGTCCACATCATCTGAGGGAAAGTGAAGAGAAGCAGAGATCGTCGTCCGAAAGTGTCGATGGTCCAGAAGGCAGGGAAGGCGAAAAGCCAGTTTACGAGACCGAAACCGAACGAGCACAGCATGGCCTGGAATTCGCTGTATCCAGATTCAACGAAGACGGTGGTCGAGTAAAAGGCAATGATGTTAATACCACACATCTGCTGTGCAATCATAACGGTGAAAGCGGCAATGCTGGCACGGCGGACGCGGGGGATGGTGAAGAGCTGTGTGAAGCGGGTTACGTAGTTGCTCTTGCTCGTAAGCTGGTTTTCGATGGATAATTGAGCGTGAATGTAGTAAATATCCCTGGCAACCTGGATTGGGTTGTTTCGTAGCTTAACCATCGAGGCCCAAGCATCAGCGTAGCGATTCTTCTTCATTAACCAACGAGGGGACTCGGGGCAGAGGTAGATCAGGCATAGCAGGGGCACAGCTGGGATAAAGGGAGCGCCTAGCATCAGTCTCCAGTTGTAAGGATGGTAGAAGACGGCAAGGTTGATGGCTGTTCCAAGGAAGATGCCGAAAGCAGTCCACATCTGCCATGACATAACCAGGGCACCTCGAACCGCAGCTGGAGCATTTTCAGCAGCATAAACAGGAACTAGATGACGTTAGCAGGTTAATTCAGAACGATTAAGGATGGAAAAGGACGAACCAGTTGAAGCCTTTACGCCCATTCCAATACCCATTAGTAGACGGCAAGCCAACTGCTGTTCCCATGTGTGGCAGAATGCAGAACCGATGACGGGCCAGAGACAGAAGTGAGCAGAGGTAAAGATAACACCACGACGACCGATCCAGTTGTTGATGGGATCCGAGAGCCAACATCCGATGAAAGCACTTCCGATATAAGGACCCGAGTTTACCAGGCCGACCAACTTTGTAAAGGGTTAACTCTGTCACGCAAATATAGCGCGGAAATGAAGCTTACCAGTCTGTCTCTAGTGGTGTCGCCACCAATGCCGTAGAAAGCCGGGAAAAAGATGTTAGCACCGTTACTTCCAGTCTGATCCCAGCCCTGGACGGCGGCACCAATAGAGCAAGTCGCGATAGTTAAGAAAAGTCGGCCAGGCATGCGCCATCGGTGTGTAACTTCTTCGTGGAGAGCCTTTTTCTCGGCTTCGTCGAGAGCTTCCTCTCCACTCAGGTCATCGAAGTCGTGGGGGTTCTGGGCGACGAGCGCACCCCTTCGTAGAATCGGAATGTGTTCGACAAGGCCCTTCTCGTGTGCGAAGGCTTCGACATCACGCATCAGCTGCTCACGAGGAATACCCTTGAGAGGATTCTTGATCCTGTAAAAAGAGATCGCATGTTAGTCACACCTCGTACGCGGTAGCAGCGCTGATTAAGCAAGCGACTTCATCTACGTCGAAATATCCGTAACAATTAAGCACTTACTTCGCTTCAAGGTTAGCGTTCAGGTCGACATGTTCAGTTGCATCAAGGCCATTCTCTAAGTAGTGTCCTTCGACGCCCTTAGGCTCGATCCTATTATTTATGAGTTAGATATTGCGCGATTCGAGGAATCAACTTAGGCGAGCGGAACACTTACAGGTCGACTTGAGGTTTTTCAGACATGGCTGCTTTAGTAATTAAAGAAGGAGCAGATGATAAATAATAAATAAAAGTAAGTCTTAATGGTAGAAGAGGACTGAGGTCCACTACCAACAGACGAGAGGGTGAATTAGTCCTTAGTCCTGGTCTCGACGGCTGTCGACGGCTGTAAGGAGTGAAAAACCTTGACTCACGAAAAGCAGGCACGAGAGGAGACGAAAATACAAGTAGAAGAAGGGCATCACCCGAGCCTTATATTCGCGACAAAGAACACCGACGAGCAGGCGTAAGCACGACGAAGATCCCGCTCCCAGCATCTTCAATCCTTCAGTCTACAACCAGCTTCTCTTCTCTCGCGCGAAAACCCCATACCCCCATACCCCCATACGGGGAGAACCCCATGGATACAAGGTGTCCCCACCACATGGACGAATTGTCGCGCGCCGGGATAATCCATGAAGCAAGGATCCAGCCACGCGAAGGATGCTAGCGATGTCTTGCTAGCCTACCTGGGAGTACTCGTCGCGCCGGTATCCAGACGCGGCCTAACGTCCGTTCTCTCTCGAAAAATCCTGCCAGTGAGCCGTGGCGAAGAGGCTAGACGGTACACTACTAAGCGGCCAAATTGTCATGGCGAGCTCCACCATGGGTATAGGTACCTTGGCAAAGAACGATGGCGGATATGTGGATGGAGCCTTGTATAGCAGGGCAAGGATGTTTGTTGACGGAACCGGTTAGCGGCAGCAGGCTTGATATGTAACAACAAGAAGCAAGTGTGCGTGTTGTGTGAGAGGGTGAGAGCCGAGAAGACGGATTGGTCGTTTGACGATGGCATTTCCTCGCGTGAACACAACATCAGGTGATGAAGCAAGATACTCTACGCAGGTAAGCCTTTTGGAATTGGCCGTATACTCGGCTTGTCCGACACCATACTATTGGGGCGTTCGAGACGTCTTTGTCCTTTTTGTCTCTAACATTGATTCCGAATTCGAGGCTATGTGTGACTTGGTCACCGCACCAATATTCTGTAGTGGTACAAGCCAATAGGATTGCCCAGTGGCTTATTTGCAGTTGTCTTATATACATAAAATACCTACATTAGGTACCTTATAGAGAGCAGGTGTCTCGCAGAGGTACCACCTGTAAATCGTGGTATGAGGCTCTGTAGGATAACACAATAGTGTATAGGTACCTTTCGGTCACCCTTACAGCCATGTAAGTCCCTTGTATTTCAGCTAGTCTAGCTACCTGTATAAAACAACGGCAGCCGTGTTCATACACCCCAAGCTAAAGAATTCTCTGAGACTGGGGGAAACATGTACCTGACGGGACAATATGGGGAAATGAACTCCAAAGAAAGGAGAATAAAAAAAGTTAAACCGCTTCTGGTCTAAGTCGAGTAGATGACTCCTAATAATGACGACGATGGCTTCAACCCCGTATTATCTTCAAGTGCGGGCATTGCGGGGAACTGGGTTAAACTAGTGTAGGAGGTGGACAAAGGAGTTTATCCCTCATCTTACTTGACCTAGTTCGTGTACATTCTCGTCGTTAGCATGTGGACTCCGCCATTCCTTTCCCTGCTTCTGTAATCTTCTCCTTGTCGACTAGTCTCAATATGTATTAGTACTAACCTGCTAACTACCATAAGTGATACTTATCTCCATAGTATTTCCATCTCCCCCGCCTCCATTAGAGTTGGTCTACTAAATGAGAATTTGAGGTTAAGATCTTTGCCCGGTGGATTGTCAACTCTAGGCACTACGAATAATGGGGTGTCGTTAAAGGTCATGGTAAATATGCAGAGTCCACGTGAGGTGGTCATCTTTGGGTCAGCGTATTCTGTCGTTTTTCTCGGCTCGGTAAAATATGATTAACAGGAATTTTCCATGTAGGCGATTATAAACAGGGGTTATCATTGGAGGAAGACATTCAACTTACCCCACGTATTATTTCACAGGCCGCTTATTATTTGTTACCGTATACATCCCCCTTGCTCCATCGATCCTCTCTTTACCCCGGGGGGTTTCCCCTCCTTTTCCACTTAATAAAGCCAAGCCAACATCTTCCAGATCCCGCCTCTTGGTGATGGACCACTACACGTGACCGATCTTCAAACATGAGCATGGCGTAAGAGGCTTCTATATAATAGCCAAGTTCGTCCTCTCACGTTAACCCTTGCAGGCCACAGGTCACCGTAATGCAGCTTAAAATGTAACGAGATCCAGATGCTACTCTACTAGAATTAAGCAGGCAGGTCAGATCAGCGCTTCTCCGTTAATCCGCTGCAAGCTATTCCACTACGAGCTGAGATGAACTTGGCGATGGTGGCGCAAATCGTTACCCCTCATGGAAAAAGTAACAATCCTGAAGTCTTTTTTTTTTTCCCATGCGGAGTGAGCTAGTCATATTTGTCCTAGTCACCAACTACGGCGTTGGGGTTATTCTCCTACGCTTAGTTTCATCGTCAAGTCGGAATATAGGCGTCACGTATCGTGCGTACAAATACAAATATCAATACCATATATATAAGAACGTCCCTGTGTAAGTACCTATCTTACTCTATGTAGTATCGTATCTGCATTCTTTATGCGGTGTAGTTAGAAATCGGGATTTGATGTCAATCTCGGAATTCCTTCGATGTGATATGTGATAATTACGCGATAGCTGTGCATCATTTACCGTGGAGAGTCATCATGCACTACGACTCTATGAGCATAGCACATTAAAGGACGTCTTAACCTAATAATTTAGATCTCCTGCTAAATTTTACTATTTCTAACGTGCAGTTGTAAATGCATAGCGTCCAAAGATTGAATGCTTCGCGTAGTTCCAACAGTACCCTGACCCTGACCCTGATATCAAGGAGAAGTATTGATGTTTTTGCTAAAATTAGTGCTAGCATTTAAGACAATCTGAATATCATAGGTTAGTCGAGTATGAAAACAACCATTCTATGTAGAACATCAATTTGCCCGGATCTAGATCGCTTATTAGTTCCAATCGAATCACGATATTATGATTATGCGATTTGAACTTTGAGGCGCGAACATGACGCAGATTCCAGTTTAATCTATAGTCATAGCTTACCTCTTATTAGCCTCTTAGGTAAACTGGGCACTACATGTTAAAACGAACTCATCCAACTCCCTAATATACCTATGCTTAATTTTGTATGAACGCGCCGAGAACATCTGAAGTTAACATTAGGTACCTACCTAGGTATATACTACATCAAGACTTTTTTTTTTGTTTTTGGATAGAGAATATGACGTATTTCGATACTTGATGATTTTCTCGATTCTATTTGAGCCAATATCAAGAAATAAGCGACACACGTGTCAACGGACGAAAGCAGGCCAAGTCTCACCGCTGCTACCCCTTATACACTACGGTGGTATGCGACTCCAAGACCAGAAACGGCGAGAACCGGTCCAAGAGTCTAGCCCCGGCCGAGATATACGAAAAGAGCAATTAGACCTACCAATAACCAATCACAGTTTGTTTTTTGATCTATAGAAATACTGGCCAATAATAGTTTGTTGTCTCCATCAAACTAATAACAGCCCAGACTCCAAGCCTGTGACTAACAAGGTATTTCTCCAGACGACGAACAACAAACCTCCGCCTGGGGGAATACATACCTTGTTTGTGCTGCTAGCTCTCGGGAATCGCGCTGTTTGCCCATTTCCTTCGCGAATCGCAAGCTTCTTATTAACATGGTTAACCTTGGTGCTAAAAGATTCGCAGCAATCGCTCCGGCCATTCGCGCTAGCAACACCGACGATGAGAAGACGGCGAATCGATCGATCGGTGCCATGTACTGAGAATCTATATCCTTCCAGGAATACCGAGGTCCGTGACATACTTGTAAAGAAGTACCTAACTATGTGTTGATGTTTACCTTACTTACCGTTCCGGAACCGATTCTTCAATCTCCCTGGCGTTGAATCAACTTGCCCATGGTGATGCCCGGCTGCGAGCCCACGTGTGATAGACGGGAAGTGCGGAGCAGGAATGTTGGGTCAAGGCCGATAGCATCCTATTGAGCAAGGGATAGATGTTGTGATTGCACGGTGTCTTGCTCGGCCGAGATGTGTCGGTCCGACTTCATAACACCGCATCCGGCAAGGTTCCATTACCGTGTCTTATGCTTCTTACTATCCTCCATACTCAACATGTAGTTCTATGCCTCCCAAGTATAAATAAGGTAATCATTGATTGGCGGCTCGTCTGTTTATTTCGACGTAGCGATGCTGTCTCGGAACCTCTTAAGATATTCGTCGAGATTAATAGGTCAAGAATTTCGCGAGTAGAATTAAGTATTCTATGACCGGTTCAGTACTCGTACGGCGATTTTGTCGGTTGTCGTAGGATTACAGTAACTACCTAGTCTCAACCCAAAATTACAATGTAGGCCTCACGACTTTTATATACCAATTCTATGTGGGGGTCAAGATCCGGGGACCCCAATATGAATTGCTTTTTTCCACTAATCAGGCTTCGCTGTTGTCATCACGAGCGTTTCAACGAGGCTATAATTCCTGGTAACCGAGTTGGTCCTGGAGTGGCGGACCGAGGCCAAAAGCATAGCCAAGGTCCCCATGGGGTAGACCTCGTATCGTAATATTGACTGCCGAAGTGCTTTTCCTGGCTCATTTATTAGCCATTGACTTTTTACTAGGTAGTTCTATCCGAGGCAATCTAGAAGCCTAGAGTGTACATATTCCTCTGACACCCGTGCATCTTGACCTGTCACAAAAGCCCTTGTATTTATTACAAGATATTACCTGCATTGTCATCACCCCCCAGTCTCCCGTATAATCGGTACGCTTCATCTGATATCCCCAAAGTCTCGAGCATTGTAACTACTTGTTACTTCCTCTCCAGAGAAGGGCTACTACTACTATGCCTTACCATTATTAACTAGAGTATTTCTTCCCCTTTAGTGTAGCATTACCCCTTTCTTAACTATTTCACATTGACAGATAGATACCTAGGGAAATAGATAATACGTAGTTATCGTTTAATATTTAGTGATAACTAAGATATTGTACACCTACCTAATCTACCCTAAGTAGCCTTTGTATAGCTAGCAGCCCTACAGTTTTCCGATTCTCGACGCCCCAAACGACATATAATACGCACGATGAGATACCATTCCCTCAAGCAGATGGCCCACCACCAGTCATAACTTCAACTACCTTCTCGGCCCCATCCTCGCGGAACTCGATCTCCATCATACTAGCCGTAAACTCAGCGTCCTTCTGCGAGCGTTCGAACATGCCCTCCTCGTACTTCCTCAGCATCCGCGCTAGACACCCCTTTCCTTCTCTTTGCTGCTTAACGTACTCCACGACCCCCTCCGCCAGCTCCAACGCATCCATCATACCCAC